AGGCAGAGCAATGGGGGCAGTAAGAGAGAAGTGGGAAGGGAAGAGAGAGGGAGAGAGCTATCTTCCAGCTATTGTTTCATTTCCGGTGGTCACCCACAGCCAGGTCTGGGCCTGAAGCCAAGAGCTCCAATCTGGTTGCCTACATGGTGGTAGGCACTCAAATACTTGGAACATCATCTGGTGCTTTCCCAGGTAACTTAACAGGGAATGGAACATCTGGGACTCCAACCAGCACTCTGACATGGGATGACAGTATGGCAAGAGATGATTTACCCACTGTGTCACAGTGCCACCACCTAGTGAATTTTATTTTTTTTTTTTTAAGATTTATTTTTATTATTTTTTCATTGGAAAGGCGGATTTACAGAGAGGAGAGACAGAGAGGAAGATCTTCCGTCCGATGATTCACTCCCCAAGTGAGCCGCAACGGGTCGATACTATGCCAATCCGAAGCCAGGAGCCTCTTCCGGGTCTCCCACGCGGGTGCAGGTTCCCAAAGCTTTGGGCCGTCCTCCACTGCCTTCCCGGGCCACAGGCAGGGAGCTGGAAGGGAAGCGGGGCTGCCGGGATTAGAACCGGCGCCCATATGGGATCCCGGGCGTGCAAGGCGAGGACCCTTAACCACTTGTGCCACCGCGCCGGGCCCCACCTAGTGAATTTTAAAATCACTTCACTGAAATAGGAAAAGGCCAGCTCCCCTTCCAAAGGAGTCAGAACTACAACTCTTTACTGAGCTAATTTGTTCTCACTATGGACATACTAGAAAACCAATTAAATATGCACCCGTGATACTCAAGAGTCTAGTTCATTAATGTGAACACCAGGTTTACTAAGGTCGTCTTTAAGCAAAAACATACTATTTCAGGGATTTTACCCTTCCCTTTACGCCTCAACACCAGTGATGTGAGGTTTCCAAACTTTTGTGGTTCCTCAATGCCTAGTGCGTAGTGTTTTTTGTTTTTATATATGTATGTATATTTTTATTGGAAAGGCAAATCAGATTTACAGAGAAAAGGAGAGACAGAGAGAAAGATCTTTAAACCACTGATTCACTTCCCAAACAGCCAAAAATGATCAGAGCTGAGCTGACTGATCTGAGGCCAGGAGCCAGTAGCTTCTTCTGGGTTTTCCCTGTGGGTACAGTGTAGTTTCTAAAAATAATGTTATAACAAGCCTACTTGATTGCTCATTATTTACCTTGTTGAAAAAGGGGCAGGAGGAGGAAGGGCAGTGGGCACACTGGTTAAGGATTAAGCTGCTTCTTGGAATATCTGCATCCTTCAGTGGAACTGGGTTCAAGTTTTGGCTTTACTCCTGATTCCATCTTCCTTTCCATCTTCCTTTCAATTCACACTGTAGGAGGTCACAGCTGATGGATCAATTAAAAAGGTTCTTTTAACCCACACGGGGAGACCTGGATTGAGCTCCAGATTCTTTCCTTGGGTCTGGCCCAGAACTGGGTCTTGCAGTCATATAGGGGTAAATAGCAGATAGAAGATTTGTGTGTATGCCTTCCCCCCAGCCCACCCTCACAAAAAGTACATAATTCTAATCTTTGCAGGTTTACTAGGTTCTTTTTCCTTAAATGATACTCCTCCCCTTTATTTCAAACATTCATTTTTTAAAGATTTATTTTATTTTTATTGGAAAGTCAGACAGAGAAGAAGATCTTGTGTCAGTTGATTTACTCCCCAAGCCGCAACTGAGCTGATCTGAAGCCAGGAGCCCAGGTCTCCCACGCAGGTGCAGGGTCCCAAGGCTTTGGGCCATTCTCAACTGCTTTCCCAGGCCACAAGCAGGGAGCTGGATGGGAAGTGGGGCTTCCAGGATTAGAACTGGCACCCATATGGGATCCCAGCATTTTCATAGTGAGGATTTAGCCACTTGGCCACTGCGCTGGTCCAAAGGTTTTTTGTTGTTGTTGTTGTTGTTGTTGTTGTTTATAACAATGCTTTGACCCCCTTTCGCTGACAAAAAAAGATCATTTTAACAGTTTAATGACTTAGTAGAATTCTTCCACTAACATTTTCTAATATCAAAACGATCTGCCTACCTTTCTTGGAGAACTCTGGGCTATTTACTGATTTAACAGCAAGGTTTTGTCTCTAGATTCACACTCATTTCATAGGAAACCAAGAGTCAAAACACCGCTGCAATATTCAATAAAATATGCATATTACATTTCACAATGTTATCTTTAGGGATTTACACAATCTAAAACAAGCACTTGAGCAGTACTGTACTATATTGCTATTGTAGTAATATTTGGGGGAGAAAATCTAAAGTTTGGAATTCCGGCATACAAAGCGTGACCATACTGTGCAAATATCTAAAGCAAAGTTCAAATCTGAATCACCAGAGAAAAGATCAAAACATCATCAGTAAGGATGACAGGCACATCTCTGATCTAAATCTGATTTCTCTGATGAAGGAAGGTACTGAATCTATTATAATAGAATATGTCTTTGAAGGATCGAAAACCAAGTCCTTTATTCTTGATCAAAAAAAAAATCACGTTGATAAATGTCTTCGGTATACAGGAGAAAACAACAAAGATGACTAAGCTCAAAGAAATCTCATTCTGGCTTGTCACATCTTTTGTAGATAGTGCCATTCCTGATAAAATAAGGTCATGAAATAACGTTTTTCTACATATCAAGGTGTAAAAGTTAGAAAAAAGTTGTTTTTTTAAAATAGAAATACTATATAACAGCAACACGTAAGGAGTCTTTGGGTTTCTTTGGTAAAAAATACTGGCATGGTCCAGGCCTGATAGCTTAACTAGCTAATCCTCCATTTCCAAGCACTGGCATCCCATATGGGTGCCAGTTCATGTCCCAGCTGCTCCACCTCCCTTCCAGCTCCCTGCCTGTGGCCTGGGAAAGCCTTGGGACCCTGCACCTGTGTGAGAGACCTGGGAGAAGCTCCTGGCTTCGTTCGGGATCAGTACAACTAGTTGGGGAGTGAATCAGCAGACGGAAGATCTGTTTCTCCTTTTCTCTGTGTATCTGTCTTCCCAATAAATCTTAAAAAAAAAAAAAAAACACCAAAAAACAAACACACATACAAAAAAACTGTCATTTCTATGCGGGCAGAGGTGATAACTTCAACATGTCATAACTGCTGGCCTGGTCTATGGTTACCACAATGGAGAGAGCAGGGTACTATAATCCTTTAAGGCAGGAAGATGACTCTACCGGATGCCATGCATGAACACACTGAACACAGGAAGGGGGAGACTAGGTGAAGCGGGATGAACCCCCAACGACCCCCTCCCTGCTGCTCTGAAAATTCAAACTGGTGGGCTCATTTTCCTTAAGCCTATTTATTGCACGTGATGAGCCACAATCACATGACATACCCTTTTCCCATGGGGTAAGAACAAGCATAGGCCTCCCAAGGTGAAGGGTGCAAAGCCCTTCCCCCTCAAAGGCCTTTCACCAAGATGCCTTAATGTTCCCTGGACAAAAAAAGTAGTAACTTTCTTTCTTTAGCAAGTGAAATACCATCCTGTTGCTTTTGCCCTTATCCTGTTTCACCTTTTTTTTTCCTTTCTGAACACTTAAGGCTACTTGACATTTTTACCTATTTGTCATCTGTCCCTTCACGATGAGAGTTTTCAAATAACTGCTTCCCAGACGTATCCTCAGCATCTCAAACTGCACCTAGCAAGGTGGTAGGTTATCCAAAAAATGTTTATAAAATTAATGCAAATGCTGACAGACACTAGAGTTGTCACTGTCTTAACATTTTTGTCAACTCTGTATCTATGTGTGTATATGTGGAATAAATTTGTATGCTGCTGCAGGGATGGAGGTCAGAGGCTGTGTGAGAAGATAGCAAAGGGGCTGTAACAAAGCAATACACTTTTGTATGTGGACTGAAGGCATCAGTGTGCACAAACTGCTTTCGAGGCTACACCGAGGGGTAGGCGCCTCCCTACCCCTTCTTGTCCTGGACTCTGCTGTGAAGTACAACTCACTTTGGGTCGGCTGGATTTGCATAAGCTTTCTTTCATGCTGACACTTTTAAAGCTTATTTAGTTATTTTCTTTCCCCCTCCCTAAATTTCTCCCTGCACGATTAAAAAAGACAGTTACCCATTACTATTTTGAGATTTGCCCCGAGTCACAAGGTAGTCTTGGCGAACCACTCTGCTCTATCTCTCAGTTTACTGAGTGAAGCTGCCTTTGAACTTGAACTGTCAGCCAAACAGAAACAGGGCTCTTCAGCTATCTCCAAAGGGTCAAAGTCATATGGTTGTGGATTTTATAAATCACTGCAAATGGATTTCCCATGGGGCAGGGGGTGGAGGAAAGCAAATATTTTACTTGACTTCCTCTCTAAAAACTCGGGGCCAGATGCACGTTACAACACAGCTGAGCAAATTTCCCAACATTTGTATAACATGTAATTTCAACTAAAATCCCGCACTTCTATATTCCTACTATGTGTGGACACCCCAAACCTCAAATGTAAGCAGAAGAATGTGTCTGATCTGACACATTCGGGCAAAGATTTTTTAAAACTGTCATATAAACATGTGACCCACAAAAGCCCTTTTATCCAGGATGGCTATGAAGGCTTCCTTCCACCCAGATATTCTTTGTGCTTTTCAATTCCTCCTGCTGTGGTGTCTGCAGCTAGCATGTTGTCCCTAAACTGCTTTGGGTACTTTGGTGCTTATTAACTTCCCCCCGCCAAGGGTGCCTCTGGATGGAGTGTTCCTTCCTTTATACTCACACAAATGCAAACAGAAGAGATGAAAAGCCCCAGGGATGCCGCCTGCGCGTGCAGGTCTCCAGACCGACTGATCCACGGCTCAGCACAGCCGGAGTCTCTCTGCTTTCTCTCTACCCTTGGCTGAGTTTCCCTCTCTTGGCTCAGGGTTAGTGATCTTGCATGGCATAGGAGGCTTAGGACCCAGGGGGCGCCTTCCAGCTCAAAAAACACCTCGCGCTGCAGCAAGCTAGCTGGGGAAGCTCCCAGTTCTAAAGAGAGGCTGTTTACCAGAAGAGCATAACAAGGGCAGGTCTGACTGCAAGGGCTGAGTCCCGGAAGGCAGAGCCGCTGCCAAGGGGGGGACCCTGGTTGGACACTTGGGTGTTCAGGCACCTGCAGGATGGAGGAGGGGAGGAGGATGCAGTTGGCCTGGGTACAAACCTTGGTCCTCAGCAACATGCTCCTTGCAGAAGCTTACGGATCTGGAGGTGAGATTACAATCTTTCCTTTTTCTCCAACAACTCCATGAAGCTCTCAGCTTCCTAAACGTGGCTGGGATGACCAGAAGCGAAGCTTTTAGTTTATCTTTTGTTGTGCTAGGATAGCTTTTTTTCCCCCTCTTTTCTCTTTCCTTTCCTGGGCTTGTAGCTCCATCTTTGCCATTAAGAACAAAGGCAAGTAGCCACTTTCTCTTTTCCTTGCACAAGAGCCTATGGAGCTTGGTGTGTGTGTATCTGTGGGGTGGGGGCACATCTCCCCTACTCCCCAACTCCTGTTCTGTTCAAGTTCAAGCTCTTTGCACGGCTGTGGCTCCCTAGGGGGCACAGGCCCACCGCCCCAGCCTCCTCCTGTGGCTCTCTCCTTGCAGCCCCAAGGGGAGTGGGGGTTTGGAGTCACATCCAGATGAGACAGATTTCTTGGGAAGACGTCTACAAAAACCTTTTTGAACTGGCAGGAGGTGGCCGTAGCCGCCGAGCAGGGAACACCAGAGTTTATGTAACAGGGACGTTACAACACAGGTTTTCAGATCTGGCAGTCCACCAAAGTGCTCCACTATCTCCACTAAGGGACCCAGAATCGAATCTTCCTCCTTTTCTCCTCACCAAAGTGATCCCAAGTTCAAGAGTAGCAACAGCCCCCCTGTACACTCCAGTGCTTCCTGACTTAGAAGGGAGGAAAAAAAATCGTTCTCATTTTTGGAGCGCTGCTGTCAAGAGTTCCCGGCTTGGGAGCTTTCACAGACTGTTTCTCTGCCATCACTTGGGGCCTCACAGTCACCCCTGGAGGCAGGTGAAGTTTCTCCCCCCACCCCCCCCCGCAGGGCTGGCTCAGTGTGACCACTCCCAACCAGCAGCAGCAGCCCCAGCAGAGGGCCATGGCCGGCCGCCGTGAGGGTCCCCTGCCCGCCAAGCTCGGCGTCTTCCACGGGAAGCTCGTTGTCACTCAGGGAATGGCGGTGTGAGTGTGTGTGTGGGCGTCGCTCTTCTTGACAGGCTGCTTCTGGGACCACGGTCACCTGTACCGAGAGGACCAGCCCTCCCCAGCGCCGGGTCTCCGCTGCCTCAACTGGCTGGACGTGCAGAGTAACCGCTTGGCGTCGGGCCCCGAGTCGGGTGAGTGTCCACCGGGGCAACGGGCGGAGCCGGCCGACGGGCGGGCGTCTGTCAGCGTCCCGGCCTGGGGCCCCAGTCCATGGCGCCTTCTCTTCCATTTTCCTTCAGGCGCCGCCGACAACCATAACTACTGCCGGAACCCAGACCAGGACCCTCGCGGACCCTGGTGCTACGTTAGCGGCCAGACGGGTGCCCCTGAGAAGCGGTCTTGTGAGGACTTGCGCTGCCCAGGTATCCGCTCGAGGACACCGTCCCCTCAGGACCACCGAGGGAGGCGCTCACCGACCGGGGAGCGGCCGGTTACGCCCGCCGCGCACGTGCGCCCGCGCGACGCCGGCCGGCCTCGCCCCGCCCCTGCGCCGCGCCGATTGGCCAGGGCTGTCTCCAGGCCGCGAGGCTCAAAGCCGATTGGCCGTCGCCGCGGCTCCGAGTGAGCTCATCCTGGGAGTGCGCTTGTAAACAACCGTGGGAGGCGAAGCTGGAGCGCCCGGCGCGCGGCTGTCCGTGAGGGGTGTTCCGCGTGTGCCGATTCTCCAAGAGAGCTATTCTGTAGTGTGCTAAGGCATTTTTTTTTCCCCCGGAGGAGGAATCCTAAATCTCCGAGAAATTCAGCGTCCAGATATTAATCCGCTTTTCTTTTGTATTAGATCTGTTGCTCCCGCTCCGGAGCGAGAATTCTCTCGGGGCTAAATGAGATTTAAAAAAAAGTCAAAGTCAAGCATGTAACTCTGTGATTGACCCCAAAGCGTGGGCTCAGTAACCAATGTGAGCTGCTTAGAGGATTCAAGATGTCTCTTGATGGAGAGAGGTCGGGGGTGGGGGAGATCGCAAGAGTTTGAACAGAAAGGCGTGGGAGCTAAAAGGGAGACCCTTGCTCGGGCCTTGGTTTTTGTCCCAGCGATAGTGCAGCTTTTAGGGGAAACTTGTGTGCGTGTGTGGTGTGTGTTCGTGTGCCCCCGGGTTGTGTGTGGTGGGGGTTGGGGGGACCATTCTAAGGTGGACCCTCCTCATCTCCCCCAGCACTTCTGGGTCCAGGTTCAGCTGTTTGGAAATCCTTCAGTCTTTGATGAGAATTCTGTCTCTCTTCACCACCAGAAACCACCTCCCAGGACCCTGGAGCCTCCACTACAGAGACAGAGGAGGAAGCACCGGGGACGGAGCCAGCACAGGTGTTCCCTCCTGCTAACGCCCTGCCTGCTCGGAGCGAGGCGGCCGCTGTGCAGCCCGCGGTTGGCATCAGCCAGCGGGTGCGGATGAACTCCAAGGACAAAAAGGACTTAGGGACTCTAGGTATGAGGGGCCCAGACCCCCTCCTTCTCCTGCTTGCAAGAGATGTGGTTTGCTGACTGGGCAGGGGAGGTGGTTTGTGGCTCATGGGTCTCCACGTGTCTCCTGCAGGCTATGTACTGGGCATTACCATGATGGTGATCATTATTGCCATCGGAGCTGGCATCATCTTGGGCTACACCTACAAGAGGTCAGTAACTTCTCTTCTGGGCCCCTTTTGAGAGGAAGGGAGCCAAATCTGTTTTTCTTTGTGACTTTTTTACTCAAAGGAGGTGAGGTGTTGAAAGAATGCAAAACCAGCTTTAAGATGTAGATACTTGGTTCTAGTCTTGACCCAGTGACCCTAGACAAACACTTGCTCCTGTGCTTTTGCTTCTCATTAGAAAAACCTTGTGAGGTCTGGATTCTTCTTGTCCTTCATGCTCACAAAAGTCAGGGTTGAGCTGGACCAGGACAAAGACAGGAGCTAGTCCTGGTTTCCCACAATGGGTGACAGGGCTCCAATTACTTCAACGGTCAACTGCTGCCTTGTAGGGTTGCTGTTAGTGGGAGGTTGGCATGTGGAAGCTGGGACTTGAACCCAGCAACTTGACCTTGAGAGTCACCCATCACAAGCAGGGGCTTAACCACATGTTTAGCCCCCTGATCTAGCTCTTTGGATACCAGATTTGCTGCTGTCTCATGCTGTGTCTGTGTGGCATGGGGAGAAATCCGGCTGCATCCTCACTGCATTTCTGTGCTTTATAAAATTTTGCTACTGGAAAAGTTTCCCAGACAGCTTTTTTTTTTTTCTTGAATCATTGGAATTTTACATTTCCTAGTCCATAAGCAGTGAAATCTCCTCCAAGGGTAGGAAGCAAAAAAGTGAGCTGGAGACAGTCTATTTGCCATTCCTTCACACACACATGAACCCAGAGGGGGTCCTTGGGGGCTGGTGCAGCACAGTAAGCCACTGTCTGCAATGTTGACATCCCGGAGTGCCTGATATGAGTCCTGGCTACTCTGCTTCTAATCCAGCTCCTTGCTAATGTGCTTGGGAAAGTGGAAGATAATCTGAAGTAGCTGGGCTTCTGCCATCCCTGTGGGAGACCTGGATCGAGTTCCTTGTTCCTGACTTTCAGCTTTTCCTGGCTTTTTTCCTGGCTTTTGTGGCATTTTGGGTAGTAAGCCAGCAGATGGCAAGGAGTGTGTGTGTGTGTGTGTGTGTGTGTGTGTGTGTGTGTGTGTGTTCTCCTTATTCCCTTTCTCTGTCACTCTGCCTTTCAAATAAGTAGCTCTTAAAAAACAAAAACAGAGGCAAACTTGGGGCCATGCTTTGTGGCTGGGACAGCAGGAGGAGAATGCTTATTTTGGAAGGTCCCCTGAGATGCCGTGCAGAAAAGATTCTCAAAGTCAGCGATGGGATTCACTCCTGCAGGAGCGGCTTGCCCTGGAAAGTTACTTGCTGCCTTTTGGTAACGTCTAGGGATTTGTCTTTCAGCCGAGGGTCTGTGGAATTTCTTCTCTATGGGCTGTGTTCCTGTAAGGGAAGTGACAATAATCTGTGTGTTCTGGGAGTCTGAGCCCCAGCCCCCGTATTATATAGACCTTGGGTTCCTTAGACATGCTGCAGCCGACCTTATAGATGAAGAGGGCAATTAGGTGGCAGCAGTACCAGCAATAGCAGATATTTACCATATATTTACTTCAATCACTTTGTGTGTATGCATGCACTTCTTGCAATTAACCATGATGAGATACATGCTATTATCATTTCCAATTGAGAAAACTCGAAGCCGGAGGGGATGGGGACCCTGTGTGAAGTTATTTACCTATAAGTTGGTAGAGGAAAGTCCCAGAAGTCCCAGGCCTGCCACTAACTGGCTATTTGCTTGAGTCTGAGCAAATTGTCTCTATATCATCCCTGTCCCCTGGAGTATTGCTGTGGGGGTGAAGGCATGCAGTTGCCTAGTTCAGTACTGGTCACATAGTAAGTGACAGTAAACAAAAGGTTTTTTTTTTTTCCTGTAGTGTGCTGATGCTATGCATACTCCATTCCATCTCTGCTTTTCTTTCTCATTTTTAAAGACTGGTTTATTACTTTGAAAGGCACAGTTATAGAGACAGTGAGGGAAAGAGATCTTCCATCTGCTGGTTCATTCCCCAAATGGTTTCAATGGCCAGGGCTGGGATCCAGGCTGAAGCCAGGAACCAGGAGTTTTAACAGGGGGTGCCAGGGATGCTGGCATTTGGGCCCTCCTCTGCTGCTTTCCCCTAAGTATTAGCAGGGAGCTGGATGGGAAGTGGAGCAGCCAGGACTCCCAGCTGGTGCCCCTAAAGAATGTTGGCATTGAAAGTGACAGCTTTACTTGCTGCACTATAATGCTAGCCTCTTTACTCTGTTTTTTTTGTTTGTTTTCTTCTGTGATTCAGGATGCAGAGGTTCACAGAGAAGTAGTGTCCTAAGAGGTTGTTGCCCACAGTGGGATGACATGGCATTTCCAGGGATACCTGTGTGAAGAGTTAGAGGAAATGATGTAGTCCCAAGCCCCAGAATGCATTGGTTTGCTTTAGCCTTGAACAATTTTCTCCCTCCATATTCTCTAGACAGCATTTGGCTCTCCTCTAGTCTGGTGACAGTTTCCAGGCCTTCCTGGTGCTTGAACTGACTTAAAAAAAAAAAAAAAAAGAGTTCTAGATTCTGAGCTGGGGGCTGGTGCCCGGGGAGGAAGTCTAGTTGTCTTTTTCTTCTGGATTAGCTGTCCAGGAGCCTCCCTTTGCTTTTCCCATAAACTCAGGGCAAGGCCCCAAGTCACCTGACTCCCCATCAGTGATTACCCGTCCACTCCTTTCCTCAGCACAACTGCTCTGGGAACAGACTGTACAACAGGAAACCACATGTGGGCTGGAGACCAGCTTTTGGCTGCTGTCTGCCCACACCCTCCCCTGCCCCCCCAAGGCAGAGAGAGCAGAGCCCTGGAAGGCACTGTAGGCTGTGTTGTCCCCTCAACCTCAGTACCTTATCTGTCCAGCAGGGACACGTGCCCTCATCACACCGAGTAGGACACCCCATGGTTGTAACCACATTTGTGTGTGAGTGTGTGTACACGTGCTTTTTGAATAACAAAGGCCTGCTATATTGCTGTTTCCTGACGATCTCACCTAAGCCTGACACACTGGACACACTTTGACTTCCTTTACAGCCAATAGCTGAGATCTGGGAGAGTTAAGAACCATGTCCAAGCACCACAGCTAGCTCTCTGGATGTGTCTTTTCCTCTACCAGGGCCCAGCAGCTTCAGGTCGAGTTGCTTAGAATTACCAAGGAGAGCAGAGGGAAAAAGAACCAGGTTCTGTTTCTGGAACTGCCATCCATTCAGGATGTGACACTGGCCTCTGTTTCGTCATCTGAAAAACAGCATAGAGACAAAAGGCTACAAAGGATAACCCTCTGAGCTCGGGTAGGTCCTGAAAGAGACAACACTGCCTGGCTGCAATACAGGGAGCCCTGGGTTCGAATCCCAGTTTCTCTGTGTGCTTGCGTGGGTGATTTCAACTGCTGCTGGTTGTCTCGGTCTCCGCAGAGGTGTTACCACGGAGGTGGTGCTGTTGTTAGAGTGAGGTCAGTTGTGGTAGTGGGAGCGGTAAGAGGAGCTAAATGGGAACAGCAGCCATTGAGAAGCGTACATTGCCTAAGCAAGTGGGTGGCGTTTCCATTAACCTGGAGGGGGACACAGGAGGCAGGCAGCTGCTCCGGGTGCACCTGTCTCTGACCAGCTAGCCCCATCCTCGGTCCAGGCCCTAGAGCTCTCAGGGTCGTCAGTGCATGCCTTGGACTCTGCCAGAGGCTGTGAGCTGGACTAATGGGATGGAGCTTTTCCCTGGCTGGGGAAGAGTGGACAGGCACCAGGCTTCCTCCCAGGGGAGGGCGGACAGCCAGTGGAGGGGAGGGGGCGGGGCCGGAACAGGAGCTCAGCGCGGCTGGGTCTTTGTCCTGCTTGTCTAGGCTGCAGGATTCAGAGCAAGTCCCCTTCCCTGCTCCTAAGTGTGCTCTCTGCACTAGGTCCAGAGGGAGCTGATTTAAAAAAGGGGGTGGGGGGGAGACAGAAAAAAAAAAAAAGATAAATCAACTTCACCCCACCCCTCCATAGGAGAGGAGCTGAGGCAGAGAATAAGCCTTTTGTTCCTTCTTGGCCACAGCCAGGCTGGGCCCCGCCCCTCCGGGCAGAGAGGGGGGCTGGGCTGCCTGAGGCTCAGCCGCATGGGCCTGGAAGGCTCTTGTCCTCCGAGGGAGCCTGGCAGCCCCCGGATCTCCAGGCACCGGTAGCAGGAGGCAGGCACGTGCGGTTGGGTATGCTTGGAGGCTCCTATGCGGTTCTGAGCCCAGCGTAGAGGAGCCCCGGCTTCAGCTTTATCCCTGGCTGCTCTTTAGGCCTGCCGTGCGCTAGTAATGTGAATCGATCTCCCCCCGCCCCCACCCTCACTAAAAGACTTAAGGAAGCCTGACTGTTGTCAGCGGCTCAGCTGGCCTCAGCTCGGACATTTGCTAGTGTGAAGGAGGAAGGAGGAAAGCTGGGCTTTTGGGGTGACTCCAAAGCCCGAGTTTCTGCATCGGTAAAGTGGGGATATCATCTAGCAAGGTCAGACATGAAAAAGTCGATGCAAATGCAGAATGTGTGTGTGTCGTCTGCAAGGGGCACCTAGATGGTGTGAAGGCCATTGCTTGGTATCTTGGCAGCAACCGCAGAAGTTACAAGTTCTCGGCTTTCCTTCTCCCTGCAGCCCTTTTTACAGTTGGGAATTCGGGCCTTGGCAAAAAACACTAACTTACCAGCATACCATTACTTTGTTTTAATTTTTTTTAAAGATTATTTATTTATTGGAAAGTCAGATATACAGAGAGGAGGAGAGACAGAGAGGCAGATCTTCCACCCGATGATTCACTCCCCAAGTGAGCCCAATGGCTGATGCTATGCCGGTCTGAAGCCAGGATCCAGGAACTTCTTCCTAGTATCCCACATGGGTGCAGGGTCCCAAAGCTTTGGGCCGTCCTTAACTGCTTTCCCAGGCCACAAGCAGGGAGCTGGATGGGAAGTGGAGCAGCCGGGATTAGAACTGGCGCCCATATGGGATCCCGGGGCGTTCAAGGCGAGGACTTTAGCTGCTAGGCAACGCCGCCGGACCCTGTCTTACTTTTTAAAAAAAGATTGATTTTTGCTATTGGAAAACCAGATCTGCAGAGAGAAGGAGAGACAGAAAGATCTTCGGTCTGCTGATTCACTCCCAAGTGGCTGCAACAGCCCAAGCTTAGCTGACCCGAAGCCAGAAGCCAGGAATGTTTTCAGGGTCTCCCACATGGGTGTAGGGTCTCAAGGCTTTGGCCTATCTGCTGCCTTCCAGGCCGCAAGCATGGAGCTGGATGGGAAGTGGAACAGCTGGCTCATGAACCAGTGGCCATTTGGGATCTCAGCAGATGCAAAGTGACAATTTAGCCACTAGGCTATCACGCTGCCTCCCCCTTTTGAAAAGTTTATTTTATTTTTATTTGAAAGGCAGAGTTACAGAGAGGAGGAGAAACCATCTACCAGTTGGTTCACTCCTTAAACGGCTACAGTGGCCAATGCTGAGCCAATCCAAAGCCAGGAGCTTTCTCCAGGTCTCCCACATGGGTGCAGGGGCCCAAGGACTTGACTCATTATCCACTGTTTTCCTAGGCCATAAGCAGGGAGCTGGATTGAAAGCGGAGAAGTTGGGACACAAACCAGCACTCATGTGGGATGCCAGTGCTGCAGGCAGAGGCTTAGCCTACTCTGCCACAGTGCCAGCCCTATACCACTGCCTTTGATCTTCCCCTGGGTGTTTAACCCAGACCTTCCAAGTTTATCCCTACATTGAAGAATCTGGCTTTCCTGTTTTATGACAGGAGGTAAAAGTCTGTGTAGGGGCCACTGTTAACGGATCAACAGTGCTCAGGGGCTGTGAATCCCAGCGTGAGTGGGAGAATGCTTGATCCCTAACCCCATGAGCAGGGTCCCGTCATCTGCCCTCTGCGTGTCATGGGAGTTGTGCTGTGTGAGCTGGTGCTGTCCAGTGGTTAGGCTAATGAGGAAGATGAGGTCGACTGTCACCTCCCAGTCATGTGCAGTGGTTTGGGTAATGAACTCACAACTTTGCCTCCTTGGAATCTCACAAAACTAGCAAATGCGAGCCAGACTTCATGAAGTGAGGGATTTTACAGAACTGCAGGAGCCCTTTAGTTGAAGTCTAACTTTTTGTTTTACAGATGATGGATTAAGACCCAGAGTTGGTGGGGAAAGGCTGCAGAGATCACATAAACAACTTGCCTTGGCTGGTGGATAGGAGAGTTTGCTTGGGAAACCAAATTGAGATAGCCTTGTTTGGTGAATCACCCTAGTTAGGCCAAATCACGTTGCATCCTAGAAGGTTTTTTGTTTTTATTTTTAATTGGAAAGTCAGATATACAGAGAGAAGGAGAGACAGAGAGGAAGATCTTCCATCTACTGATTCACTCCCCAAGCAGCTGCAATGGATGGAGCTGAGCCAACCTGAAGCCAGGAGCTCAGAGCCTCTTCTGGATCTCCCACATGGGTGCAGGGTCCCAAGGCTTTAGGCCATTCTCAGCTGCTTTCTCAGGCCACAAGCAGGGAGCTCGGTGGAAAGCAGGGCCACTAGGATTAGAACAGGCGCCCACACAGGATCTCAATGTATGCAAGGTGAGGACTTTTAGCTGCTAGGGTACTGGTGCTGGGCCCAAGGCTATCGTCCTTTTTTTAAATATTCAAAAGTCAGACTTACAGAGGGAGACAGATATCCATCTTCCATCCACTGGTTCACTCCCCAAGTGGCTGCCAACAGTCAGGGCAGTGCCAGGCCAAAGGCAGGAACCAGGAACTTCATCTGGGTTTCTCATGTGGGTTTGGGGGTTCCAGGTACTTGGGCATTCTTTTGCTGCATCAGCAATGGTGCAGTTGGGACTCGAACCAGCACCAACGCATGGGATGCTGCTGTCAGCAGCTTTATCCTGCTATACCATAACGCTGGGCCTTAGGCCATCTTATAGATCTTGGAATTGGATGCTCCCAGGTCATCTACCGAGTGGCTCTGGCAAGGCCTGAACGTAGCATGTTCTCCTTCTTTTCTCGCCAGGGGAAAGGATCTGAAAGCACAGCACGAGCAGAAAGCGTGTGAGAGGGAGATGCAGCGGATCACCCTGCCCCTGGCTGCCTTCACCAACCCCACCTGCGAGCTGGTGGACGAGAAGACCGTGGTGGTCCATGCCAGCCAGACCCCGGTGGGCCCCCAGGAGGGCAGCACTCCCCTCATGGGCCAAGCTGGCACTCCGGGAGCCTGAGCCCCTGCTGTGCAGGAGCCCATGCAGAGACACTGGTGCAGGACAAGCCCCACCTCCTACAGCAGGGAGGATCTACACTTTGTGTTGTGGTTCAAATCCTACTTTTTTTTTTGAGTGGATCCTAATTGTCAGAAGCACGTGGCACGCTGTGGACTTTGAGGGCAAGGCTGGGCAGGGCCTTCCCATGCTCTTTCTCCAGCCCTTGGAAAAGGTAGTTTTGCCTATGGAGGGAGGTGGTGGTGGTGGCGGCTGCTGACAAGGGCTTCCGAACATTGCCTGCACCCCTGAAGTGTTCCCCGGGGACAGAGGAGCTCCCCCACGCTCCTCAGTGCTTGCCCAAGATGGTCTCCATCTCCGCCTTTCCATCTGTTTTCCATGGATTCAGTGGCGTACACTGTTATCCATAGCTACAAGGTCAAGCAGATCAAGAAGGGGAGGGGGGAAGTATATTTTAGCTTGTAAACTATTCAAGATAGAATTCCCTGCTGACCTCTGAGAGCCGGAAATGAGTCTGTGGAGAAGTCAGAATTTGGGGCTGAGGACAGGATGTAGGCTGGGTGTGTGTGCTCCAGCTTGCTAGCATTGAGTGATGTGCCTTGATACCCGTGGGCCAGGCCCGGGCCCAGGAACCCTTCCTGCTGCATAAGGGAAGGGGGTTGAATTGCACTAAACATTCCACTTAGGAAGAAGGTTGAAAGAAGGCTCTGCTCTTGCTTTGGGCCACAGGGGCTGCAGAGGTGGGCCTGAGGTAGCCCCCACACAGTGTTTGTGCAGGCTAAGCAGTGACCTCATGTTACGGGTAAGAGAGCAGCCAGCTAACCTGTGGAGAATTGCACTAAGGGACCCTGTGATTTGCTTCTGGAAATGAAGCTCAGAAGAAAGGCAACACAGCACTTCAGGGCATGTTCTGTGGTGGGGCCTCCAAGGCCAGCAGCGCTTTCTGAGGGGACAGCAGAGTTAGGATCACGCCCTTGAACTTGTAACAATCATGCAACCATTGGAAAGGATGTTAGGGCTCTTCAAGCATTTTAGGCCCAGGGGGGAAAAAGTGATTTTGTTCCTTCCCCTCCCCCAGGTCAGAGGGCAAGACACTGGCACAGGCAAGAGGAGGGCCCAGCTTTCTGACCGTGAGCAAGTGTTAACGTTTCTCCAATGCACTGTGCTGCCCTGTGCTGGGGGCTCAGCGGGGCTTCCTAGTGTTGAGGTCACACTTGGAAGTCCTGGCTGTGCTCCCCAACCACAGAGCTTCCCTCCCATACCCCTTCTACTGCCCCAAAGTGGAGTGGCGGGTGGGGTCCCTTGGTGTTAATGATGCTGGACAAGAGAACATTACTGGTTTCTACTTTTCTATAACAGCATTTCTCTGTATACATGTTTTATATACCTCATACCTGCATATATAAAGTACGAGAAATTGCTCTGCATTTGACTTATATTTAAAAAAAAAAAAAACATTTAAAAATCCAGTGTTTCTGTGAAGTGCCACGGACACATTGCCTGCAACTTAAGAAGCTTTGGGGTTACCTTGTCCAAGGCCTGCGTGGATCAGAAACCGGAAGGCGGCTTTCTCACTGGAGGGTGGTAAGCGCTGCACGGTTGGCAATGCAGCTCTTCCATCCTGATCACCATCCCACTCAGCAAATCTTCCGGGTTGAGAGAACAGGTAGGATGAGAGTGGGTGGGCATCCCACGGAGGTGAGCAGTCACTGTAATTTCTCTCTGGCAGAACCCTGAGGTGGTGTTAGTTCCCAGGCATATCCAGGCAGCCCCTTGTGCTAGCAACTGCTCTGGAGGGGTGGTACTGTAGCAAAGGTGGGCTAAGGTCATTGAACAGCTGGCTAGAGAATCATCCCTGTGGGGTGATGATTCCCAAGGGACAACCAGGGACTCTAGCAGTTGGTTTGCAGGGTGACCGCTGCCCATACCATGCTGTCGCACCACAGTTCTGACAGTAACCGGCCTCCCGCCCCACATGCTCAGGGATTTTCAAGAACCAGATTCAGCTCGGATGCCAGACTAATGAATTTTGGGGAGTGCTTGAGAGAACCTACCTTTAGGTTTATGGGTTCATAGTGTGCCCAGAACTCCTACTAACCAGACAGCATTGTCCCATCCAGTGGTCACTCCACATCCCGCCCCACAGGGGTGTAGAAGCTGGATGCAGAAGGTCAACTCCATTCCTGTACTTGTAGGGGACATAAGGAGCGGGCTGCCCCACATTCTTTTCTGCCCACTGAGAGGGCAACACTTGGCCCTGTGTGGGGAGAGCATGAGCCAGGATGCCTGGGCTGGAGATGACCACAAGGCGGGGTGACTCTGTGGCCTGCGAGGAGGCCAGACCTGTGCTAAGCAAGGGGTTTCCTTGGGTGGGTCCTGTAATTTCTGCTGTTCATGCGGTTGATGGTTGGGCATGAGGTGGATGAATTAAGCAGGGTGTAGAAGCACTGCCTGTGGGCCAGTTGTGTGGCCTGGATCACCTCTGAGCCAAGCCCAAAGCCACCTTTTCACTCTCAGTACGGTAACTTGACGTTCACCACTTTAATTTATTTAGTCTGCTCAATGGCCCAACTTGGGCCCACCATTTTTATGTTTGAGGAAACAGCCGTGGCAGCGAGCGGTCATGGACCCAGGCCACTGCTGGGAGTCCGGGGCTCATCCTTGCAGCAGCAAGCTTGCAGGACAGCCCAAGCTGCAAGTCCACACTGGCCAGAGGTGACATCTGACCCCGTAAAACTCTTCAGGCCTATATACAATATTTCATGTCTCACCCAACAGATGGAACAAGAGAATATTTTAACGGCAACCACTCTCCAGGATCACACCCCTGTGCCCCACCCCCTGCCCAATACAACCACCCCAAAACCATCCCCAATTTGTTAAATATGGTGCAAGCTCACAGCCACTTAGGAGGCCAACTTAGTTATGCTGGAGAAGCCCTGGAGCTCTGGGAACCACTGGCAGGGGTTGGGGAATGGGGTAGAGTGTGGGGAGGGTGACCTAAGGTTGTCCAGTGCCCCTGGGCCTGCTCAGGGGAGCTGTGACCAGGGGCTGAGTTGGGCTAGCCAACAAAGGAGGTAGAAGCCAGTTGGCCCTCTGCACCTCAGTGCTGGGCTCTGCCACCCACATCTGCCTAGCTACATGGATAGGGCATGTTGGAGGGCAAGCTGCGGCTGCTCCCCTACCCCACCCCGTCCAGACCCAAAGTAATAAGCCACACAGTCCACCGGAAACCATCCAGCTCTGGGCCAAGGGTCTTACTTAGGTATCTGCCCTCAGGAGCCCACCGAGAACTGAGTGGCAGCAACTGGCATGTGGGATTTTTAGCTGGCAGGGCCTCTTTCTTCCCAACATCTCCCCCTCTTCCTGTGCTTGTTGCAGTCTCAGGACGTCACCCGGAAGTTCTCAGCTGGCTTCCAGCTGCACAGTTTATGAACATGAGGTGGAGACCGCACACTACCCCTCTCCCTGTTGTCCTCCAACACACACATACGTCTTGCCAACTTTGATGTGGTGCCCAAATTGGCCAGAGCCACACCCCCTGGCAGGAGAGCAGCAACTAGCCTTCTCCTTGCCTTCTGGATAGCTTCCAGCATACCCTAACACCTACTCCCTTCCCTGCTGCTCCAGGGGAGGCAGCATCTGGAGGGCACATGGTGGGGAGCACCACCATCATTTCGTGCCCTTTGAGGGCCACCTGGGCCGCCAGTCATCCATCCATGCTCTCCCACCTGTAGTCCTCTTGTACCCAGCTGGTCTAGCAACTTCAGAATGCATAGGCAGGTTCCCCCCCTTCCCCGCCCCCATGACCCCTAGCCAGCAGGTCCAGGTCATGCTGGTTAGTGTAAAGCAGGAGCCCCCCGGAATCCCTGCAGGGTCTTCCCAAGGAGTCCCAAGTAACAGATTTCCTCCTGGCCTGGAGTCCAGGCTCTTATTTGTTTTGTTCTGTTTTCTTCTTCACAGCTTTCAGGCGAGTGTTGGATCTAAGGACAGTCACCAGGCTCCATTTCCCGGGCGTTGCATCCGCTCGCCTCCTGGGGAGGTAGTAGGGATGGCGTGTTCTGCTTCTCTATGAGCCGCCGATCCACAGGAAGCCAGGATGGCCCTGCTTCCGGGCAGGGCTGGGGTGTGGAGTGGGCAGCGAACGGGGGCTGTGGGACACGCCCCTGCAGCGGGGCTGAGCTGCCAGGGCTAGGGAGGCGAGTCCCTGGTCAGGCCGTACTGCAGGCTCACAGTGTGGTCCAGCTCCTCCAGCTCGGCTGGCAGCGGAATGGCCAGCTCTCCCAGATAGAGCGAGAGGGCCTCGAAGGAGTCCTCCAGTTTGGAGAAGGCCGGTCTAGAAATAAAGGGAACAGGGAACAGGGTTGAGAGCCAGGTGGATATTTGAGCAGGGGCCATGCTGGTGTGGGAGGAGTGCAAAGCTTGAGGATGCCTCACTTCCTGATTGTGTGACCTTAGGTATACCTTGTGACTTAGGCCCTGCAAATTAGCTTGGTGGTTAAAATCCTTGCCTTGCACAGGCTAGAATCCCATATGGACACTGGTTTGTGTCCTGGCTGCTCCACTTCCCTCCCAGCTCCCTGCCTGTGACCTGGGAAAGCAGTCGAGGACGACCCAAAGCTTTGGGACCCTGCACCCGCGTGGGAGACCCAGAAGAAGCTCCTGGTTCCTGGCTTTGGATCAGCTCATTCCCAGTTGTTTAGGCCACTTGGGGAGTGAACCAGCAGATGAAACATCTTTTCTCTGTGTCTCCTTTTCTGTAAATCTGCCTTTCCAATAAAAATAAATAAATCTTAAAACAAAAAAAGATCCTTAAAATCCTGTGACTTCCTCGTGCCTCCCTGGGAAATGGGAACGGCAGACTGTTCCTGCTGTCTCCAAAGAGAGGGGGTGGCGAGGAGGCAGAAGCACAGAGCTCCCCTGTACTGGCTCATTCCCCGAAAGGCCTGCAGGACTGGGTCAGGCCGAAGCTGCAAACCAGGAACTCAACTCAGGTCTCCCAGGTGGGACTTGAACCATCACTGTTCCCTCCCAGGGTCTGTGCCAGTGAAAAGCTGGAGTCAAGCGCTAGAGGCAGGGGCTGGACCCGTTCACCCTCAAGTGGAGGGTGAAGGTGCGGGTTTTAACTTCTAGGCCAAATGTACCCCACCCCCACTTCTTTTTAATGGCTGTCTCTCGGTGTCTTTTCTATCTACCCAGCTCACCTGCTGCTATACCTCCATATCCCTTCCTTCATAACTTGGCCTGGCAGAGGTGGCTCGAGGGTGGACATCAACATTCCTGAGCCCAGGGCTTCTGTCACATCCCCTCCCACCTCTAACTGTGCCTCCTGCCACCCCTGCTCCCCCGATGCCTGAGAAGGGTCCAGGGAGGGCCTGAGGCTGGGACAAATACACCAGATATTCTGAGAGGTGAAAGAAAGGGACAGGATACCGACCTGCTCTCGGGCTCCAGTTTGCAGCAGATGGCAGCCAGGGGGAAGAAGGCTGGGGGGCAGTCTGTAGGGACAAACTTCTCCCAGAAAAGCTTCACGTTGAGGCCAAAGTCCAGTGTGCGGGGCAGGCAGTCGGGATCTGCATACACCTGCCCAATGATCTGTCGGGGGAGGAGACACTGGTCAGGAGGGAACTTGGGGGATCCAGCACAGAAAGCCATGGATATAGGGCAGTGGAGGGGATGCTGGTATGTGTATGGAAAAGGATGGGCAGAAGAGAGAGTAAGAGCAAGTACCATCAGCGAGGATGCCAGGTGAGATACAGTGCCTGGCTTTAATTTCTCTGGCTCCTAACTTGAGCTTTCTGTGAATGCAGAATGTGGGGGTGCAATGGTGATAACTCCAGTATTTGGGTTCCTGCCACCCACAGGAGAGAAGGGGGCCGAGTTCCTGCCTTCTAACTTCAGCAGACACAGCCCTGGCCACTGCAAGCACATGGGAAGGAAAGAACCAGAGGATGGCAGCTCTCAGATGTCTGTCTCCCTGCCTGCCAAAATCATTCAATTAATTAATTTAGGGGCCAATGTTGTGGTGCTGCAAGTTAAGCAGCCACCAGCAGTGCCAGCTTCCCATGCATTCCGGCTGCTCCTCTCCTGATCTAGTTCCCTGCGAATGCACCTGGGAAGGCAGTAGAAGATGACCCAAGTGTTGGGGCAGTCCCTGTGACTCATGTGGATGGAGTTCCAAGTCCCCGTCTTCAGCCTGGCTCAATCCTGGGGCTGTTACAAAGCCATTTTGGAGGTAGGGGGAAGGAGTGAAAAAACAGATGGAGGACCTCTTTGTTTCTCCAGTTGTGACACATGAAATAAATCTTTTTAAAAATTAATGAGAAAAAGAAAGTTCCCAATTAGTACCTGGAGGCTGGCACTCCCTGCCCTGCCTGGGTCCCCCTGTGGCTGCGTCCTCCAGAACAGTTAAGCCGACAAGGCAGGCACTGGGTCTGGTTCACGGACAACACCCTTTGCACCAGTCTAGTGCTTTCTGCATAGTAGCTGTTCAGTTAATAACTATTCCAGAAACAGCTTTTAAAGAATTTTCCTGGGACCAGCACAATGGCTCAACTGGCTAATTCTCCACCTCCAGGCATCGCATCCCATTTGGGCACTTCAGTTGCAAGTGTCCTAGCTGCCACTTCCCATCCAGCTCCCTGCCTGTGGCCTGGGAAATAAATAGAGGATGGCCCAAAGCCTTGGGACCCTGCACCCATGTGGGAGATCCAGAAGAAGCTCCTGGCTTCAGATCGGCTCAGTTCCAGCTGCTGCAGCCACTTGGGGAATGAACCAGTGGATGGAAGATCTTTGTCTCTCTTTCTCTCTATAAATCTGCCTTTTCAATAAAAAAAAAATATTTAAAGGAAATAAATTTCTTTCAGGGTCTAGTGCTATGGTATAGTAGGCTAGGCTTCTGCCTGCAGCACTGGCATCCTATATGGGTGCTGTTTCAATTCCTGGCTACTCTACTTCTGATTCAGTTCCCTAGATATGGTCTAGGAAAGCAGCAGAGGATGGCCCAAAGCCTTGGGAACCCAGGCAGGAGAACTGGAGGAAGCTCCTGGGTTCGGATTGGTTCCACTCCAGCCATTGTGGCCATTGGGGCAGTGAACCAGTAGATGGAAGATCTGTCTTCTTCTCTGTGCCCCTTTCAAATTAAAAAAAAAAAATCTTAAAATAAAACAGCAAAACAAAACATGCCCCCTTCTTCTTAGCAGACATAAGAGAAAAAAGAAAGAAACAAACATTTGTCCCACCCACCTGCCTCCATACCTCAACCTTCCCCACCCTAACTGGAGACCCAGATAGGCTTGCATCCTTCTCAACTATTGAAACAATATTCAAAATAATATTTTAAAAAAATTAAATTTAATTTAAAAATCATTTCTTTCATTATTCTAACCACCCCCTTTCCTTTTCTTTCTCTTAGAATATGTGTTTGGAGGAATTACTGAAGCCTCAGGGTATGTGTGTGTGTGTGTGTGTGTGTATGTGTGTGTGTGTGTGAGATGAATGATGCCTGGCTGACCAGCTGCTAATCTCTTACTGACAGGAATCTTTCCACTCTACCCTGTGGTGTCTAACACTTCCTGGCCTAGGAGCTGGATGGACAGCCATGTGAACGGTCCCTTGCCTGTCCTGTTGGCATTCTGAGGTTCATCTGCCCTTTACTCAGAGCAAGCTACACTCCTTTCAGACTGTTTCCTCATGGAAAATAAGAAAGATTTGTTCTGCTCTGTCTTTCTCTTGTGACCAATAAGACCCCATTGTGGTGAAGCCATAAAGACGTGACATGAAATGGCATTCTCTCTGCCCGTGCCGCATTCATGGCGGTGGCAAGACGCCTGGTTCTGGGGTTGGACAGAGCTGCCGAGCCTGTCATCTGGGGCAGGGTCTTTGTGCTCGAGCTCACCTCGCAGAGAACGATTCCGAAAGAGAAGACGTCCACCGTTTCGTCGTAGCTCTTTCCTTGGGAAACCCAGAGGAGAAGAGGCAGTTATATTTATGTCCCTTAGCAATGCCCTACACTAAAGGCTGCCTGGATCGGTAGCTCTTTCCAAACCGCCTTTCCCCGACTGGGCTGCCTTGGAGAGACCTTGCAATTTGTAAGCCAAAACTACATGGCAAGTGAATCCTTGGCCACAGTGGGGTTCTTCCATGCTCCTCTGTGCTGTGTGCTGTAAACCAATGAACATCTCTGGATTTCAGATCCGTCCTCCCCCCCAAAATGAATGAATGAGCAAACAAACCAATAAATAAATTCAGGACACATACCCCGGGTCAGATCAGATCATTTCTGAGGCTTCTGCCCTAACCCTGTTTCCAGAACTTATTGTCAACACTTCTGACCGGTTTGAGCATTGTCCACCAGGGGGCAGCACATGTCAATTCTTAGCATGGAGACTAGCACAGAAGCGAACGGCAACAGCTTAGTCCTGCGGCACAGAAGCCATAGCCGGACTCACCCAAGCCCTGGATGGGATCCTGACCAGTTCCTAGGCTGCCTGAGCTTGGAGGAGTAGCATGTCTGAAGCCTGGTGTGGCGACATGTGACAAGCATCTGGCTCTGAGCTCTGGGCCTGCCGGACTCACCGTTGAGCATCTCGGGGGCCATCCAGTAGGGGTTTCCCACCACTGTGTAGCGCTTCTTGCGGTCACTCTTGCGCAGGGTCCGCTTCTTGGTGGCGGCCTTCTCCACTGGGGGCCTTTTCCTCTCTTCCACTATGAGCCGCGACAGCCCAAAGTCTGCCACCACCACGGTCTTGTCCTGGGTAGGACAGCTAGAGTCAGGACCTGGTGGGGACATTCTCAAGCCTGATCCTGGGGGTGGGAGAGGCCCTGAGAAGGGGAGGACAAGGTCACAGGGAGCCTCAGTTGGGGGAGTGAGGCTGGGCATTTGAAGTTCTAACAGTCAGGTGGCTGCGTACAGCAGGTGCCCAGCCCATTGGTGTGGAACTCTGAAGTGGGACCGGAGATCGTGTCAGTGTGTGTGTGTGTGTGTGTGTGTATTTCTTCCCTGTTTTGTTTTGTTCCTTAAAAGATTTGAGGCATTGGCTAGAACGAAGATGAAGAGGAAAAGTTAAGGTGGCCACACTCAGTCAGAGGGACCTGGGGGACAGAAACTCTTTGAAGAGCCATGGGGACATGGGTGAGGAGGCTGCCACGTGGAAAGGAGTTGTGATTTTATCTGGTATGGGTCCAGAGGCAAGAGCCTGTGGGAAGCCACCGAGATGGCGAGTCAGCAGGAGAAAGCAAACTGTATAGCTACGTCTGAGAGGCGGTGGGAGAAGGCTGGCCTCCCATGAGTGCCTGAGAATCTACTCCTTCTGTGGCCTTGGGCTGTGTCTTCAGGTGACACTGCTGAAAAAAAAAATGGGATCGGCAAGCAGCTGCTTCCAGTTTGTGATGTGGAGTGTGATGGGGGCAAAACCAGAGGACGGTACAAAGTTAAGGAAACTTCTGAAGTGTTTCTGCTCACCAGGTGACAGGAGGTGTCTGTCTGGCTGGCTCTGAGAACTTACAGACTTAATGTGGGTATGGGAAGTAACAGGAGGGGCAAGGGAAGAACTCCTAGGTTAACATCTCTGGCCTGGAAGCTGCAGAGGACAGTCACCCTCCTTAAGGGGAGGGTCGGGCCAAGGCCTGGAACGCTGGACATACCAACTTGATGAGGCAGTTGTGCGAGTTCAGATCCCGGTGGATGATGCACATGGAGTGCAGATAGGCCTGCAAGCAGAAACACGAGCCAAGGGCCCTGTAAGCCCACCAGACCCTGACCTTCCTCTTCCTCCACTCCCTTGGTCCCCCTCATCATTGGACTTCCCTTCCCACCCGCTGGAAGATCCTGCCCATCCTTTTGCTGCTCAGCAACCATGGGCCAGTGTAAGTCTTCACTGTTCTCTAAAAATCTCCCGCTCCACTGGGCACTTGACTCAGATCCAGGCCTGCATGGGCAGTGGGTGCCCTCCCCACCAGTTTCCTTCCCTGGGTGGGGACAGATGCTAAGAAGTTTTGCCAGCACGTCACTCAGCAAACACTCTACCTGTTCCCCTTCACTGTCACACCACTGGAATGCCTGGTAAGTGACACCACCACTCTCCCAGGCCCCTCCCTTGACTTCTGTTCCTCCCCGATTGCCAGCTGCCCTGTTCTGACTCCTGCTGGTCATGCCCCGACTCATGTGTGAACACAGGCATGGCTCTGGTCACGCAAACTTTCTTGCTGAGAACTCTTCCACATTTGTCTTGGCTTTCTAAATATAGTCCAGACTCCTAGGCTGGGGACACAGGGACTAACCTTAACCCTGAGGCACGCCCTGTTCCAGCAGTGTGGCGGTCGGGTTGACCGGCACAGGATTGTGGCTCTGTCCCTCTCTAGTCTGGGCTTCCTGCCTGGGAACCAGGGTTGTTGTGAGGAAGAAACTGGCTCAGTACAGAAAGCCCTTGGTCAGCTGTCTGGATGGGATCGGTTTGTTTCCTGGGTGACATAGCTCATCTCTTCCTTTCTCCTCCCAGGTCACGGATGCTGTCATCAGCTCAAGCCTGGGGCCTTTCTGCCCGGCATCTTTGATCTAATTGCTGCCCGTCCTCCAGGGCTCGGCTGGGAGTCACGTCCCCCACCCATCTCTGGCTCCCCAGGCGGAGGTGAGGTGTTGAGTGGGACTCACCATTCCGGAGGCGATGCCTTTGGCAAATCTGACCTTCTGCTGCCAGGGGAACGGGTCCTGAGGGGTGGGGAATGCTTGTCAGAGGCTGCTGGGTTTTGTTCTCCCCCAGCTTCACCATGTAGTCCAGACCGCATGGGAATTCAGTCCTACCCAGCACAGTCCTTTTGGGACACCGCAGTGGTACCCCCAGTATCTTCTCCCTCCCCAACAACCCACCAGGTCCTGGGTGACCATGTGCTTGTGTGCTTACCACACTGCGTAGGAAGTCCTTCAGTGTGCCCCCCTCGATGTACTCAGTCAGCAGGTTCAGCTTCTTGTCTTTGTACAACACACCAATGAACTTGAGCACATTGGGGTGGTCCAGGCTGCGCATCACTTTCACCTGTGGGTGGTGGAAGCCAAGCAGGGTTGGTGGGGGTTAACTCAGCATGTCTCCCTTAGGGAATATGGCTTCACTGGTGTCAGCTGCCCTCCTGCCCTCCTGGGATGTGGCCAGGACTAAGGTCACACAGAGAGCACAGATCACCCCGTACACATGGATGGCCTCTCGGTCCTCATCTGGGCAACCATGCTTATCTATGATGGGAGCGGGGCCCAGTGTTCTGGTGGTTGGCGATGATGCTGAGTTGTGCTACCATAGCTACCCCCTCCAAACCTGAACACTACATCTTACGATCTGGGGGTCCCTTGTGCCCAGCTTCGGTGATCTGCAGTGTTTGTTCACTGAACGCATAACTAGGCTGATGTAGAAGAGGGGTGGGGATGATGCTCCTCCAGTTCTCTCCTCTGCCTAGTTGCTCAGGGCGCTCAGTCCAAACCTGAGTCTCCTCCTGCCCACCCAGCCGAGGCCTTGATTTCTGAGGACTGCCCTCTCTCTTCCCACAACCACCCTGCCCCTTCCTTGTCTCCCTACCTCGGTCAGAAAAGTCTTCTGTGTCTCCTCATCACATCGGATCAACTCCTTCATGACCATCACTTTGCCGGTGGCTTTGTGTGTGACCTACGGGGAGGGCGACCGTGAGTGATGCAGAGATGGGGACACAGCCCTGGAGAACTGTGTGAGATGGCCTATGCCATCCCCGCCCTTGGAGGCCATGCTGAGCCAGGGGAGGCAGAGGCGGAGGGGGAAGACGGAGCTGGTGAGTGTAAGATGCACAGCCCAGGGCAGCAGGGAACTCAGAGAAGGATATCCTTTCTCCCCGGAGAGCTGGGCATGCATGGGAGTGATGGCGGGGGTAGGGGGAGGAGTAGAAGGGCTGGTGAGAACCCACAGAAGGGACGTGGGGAGGGGACACTGCCAAGCCAAGCTGGGCTCTCTGGTCATCTGGTACAGGAGGTGAGTCCCTTGGGTGAACAGAAGTTTGGACAGGAGGGTCCGTGCCGCAGGCATGCACCAGGGAGCTGGGTGAATTCTCCAGCTGCACAAGCTGAGAAACATGGCTTACCTGACCCCCCCTCCCAGCTCTCAGCACAGGAGGAGGAGAAAGAGGAGGAAGGAAGAGGAGGAAGAGAGAAAGAGAGAGAGAAGTTAGTCCTGGAGAGGTCCTTCTCCAGGGAGGTGGGAGCCATTCCCCTGTGTGCTCAGGGCACCGAGGCCTGCACCTTACACTGGCTGCCTGGTGGCAGGAGGGTCATAGGCGTACCTCACCCCAACCTGGGTCTCAAAGGGCCACCAGCTCGGTGTAACAGCGGTGGCCTAGAGGTCCTACAGAGTATGGGGCAAGGCTGTCCACAGGATGAGAGCAGGGGTGATATAAGGGGAGGGGCAGAAAAGCAAAGCCGCAGCTGCCCATGCTCACCTTAATGGCCTGTCCAAAGAAGCCCTTGCCCAGGACTTCCCCGTGGATCAGGTCACATGGCCGGAAGATCTGCTGGGAGCAGCTGCTGGAACAGCGGAGGGACTCGGAGCGGCTGATGTCCCGGCTCAGCAGCAGGGGCTCCTTTGGTGAGCTGGGGCCGGGAGACTTGGAGATGCTGTTACTGCGCCTGAGGGTGAGGGGAGAGGTGAGGGGTGAAGGTGGGAATTGGTGGTTTGCAGGCACCTGCCTTGGGTACCTGTCCTTTTTGACTTCTGGGATTTGGATGCTGTTGCTGGGGGATGGGGTAAGTTTGCTTAATGACTGACACGCTGTTTGGGTATGCTAGGCACCAGGGGTTTATTTAAGCCTCATAACATCTTCAAAACCGAAACTTGGTGTATTTCTCATATGGAGAACACGTTAGATGTTACTGCCCACTCAGAATGCTTGTGGGTGGATGGTAAAACCATCATCTCCCGCATCTCTCTGAATCAGGTACAAACCGGGTTGAAGATGGGAAAGCAGCAGACATGGTCCAGGGTCTTGGACCTCTACACCCACATGGGAGACCCAAAGAAGCTCCTGGCTCCCGGCTGTGGACTTGCCCAGCTCTGGCCATTGAGGCCATTTGGGGAGTGAACCAGTGGTTAGATTTCTTTCTCTCCATCTCTTCCTCTTTCTCTCTCTGTAAATCTTTCAAATAAAATAGAGAAATCTTTAAAAGAAAATTTAAAGATCCCTGACTTTGGCTCTAGCTTCTTGCTAACACAAACCCCGGGCAGTGGTAATGGTGCAAGTTAAGAAGGGTTCCATCTCCCACGAGGAGGATCTGCATTGAGTTCCTGCTTCCTGGCTTTGGTGCTGGCCCAGCCCTGGCTGTCGTAGACTTTCAGGGAGTGAACCGACACAGATGACCATTATTTATTTTTCTCTCAAATAAACAAATTAGAAACAAAATTTTCTCAAGGAGCAAATTGGATTTTAGATGCTATGTTGCACATCCTGGTGCCTTCCCCTATTTCCTGAATTTTTAAAAAAGATTTATTTGTTTTTATTGGAAAATCAGATATACAGAGAGGAAGAGAGACAGAGAGATCTTCTGTCTGCTGATTCACTCTCCCAGGTGGCCTCAACGGCCAGAGCTGAGCTGATTCGAAGTCAGGAGCCAGGAACCTCCTCCAGATCTCCCACACGGGTGCAGGGTCCCAAGGTTTTGGGCTGTCCTCGACTGCTTTCCCAGGCCACAGCACGGAGCTGGATGGGAAGCACAGCAGTTAGGACACAATGGGATCCTGGTGCACGTAAGGCGATGACAACTTTAGACACTAAGCTACCACACCGGGCCCTATTTCCTGAATTTTAAGATGAGCATTTATTATTATTTTTTATTAGCAAGAAAGCCACTATATTTTTCAAAAGTAGCCAGTAATAATACATTGGCTGATAACTGCTACTTGGGCTTGGTGAAGACAAGACAAGAAGGGTGAGAACTTATTACCCTGCCGGCTTCTGTCTGTATTGGCCTCTTGTTTGACTTGGGCTCCCTGTGGAAGACAGAAACTGGCTGGCTCTTGGTCTATCCGGCCCTGGAGGCTTGCTCAGCCTCGCTGACTCCTGCTGCCTGTGCCACCAGAGCACACCAGTCAAGCTCTCCCCTTCTACTGAGAGATGGTCTTCCACCTATCTGAGCAGTACTCTGGCCACTACCACGGGGTCTCTTGTTGCAGGGACTGAATCCACTAACTGACTCCACTGGCTGAGCAGTGGCCAGGAGTGACAACGGGAACTTCTCGTGGAGAAGGCTGTTTCCGACCAACACCAGCTGAAGACGCCTGATGGCATATGGGTGCCAGTTTGTGTCCCAGCTGCTTCACTTCCCTCCTAGATTCCTGCTTGTGGCCTGGGAAAGCAGTCGAGGACGGCCCAAAGCCTTGGGACCCTGCACCCGTGTGGGAGACCCAGAAGTTGTTCCTGGCTCCTGGCTTCAGATCAGTGCAGCTCCAGCTGTTGCAGCCATTTGGGAAGTGAACCAGTGGTTCTGTCTTTCCTTCTCTCTGTAAATCTGATCTGCACTTCCAATTAAATAAGTGAAGCTTTAAAAATAAATAAATAAGTAAAGTGCCCGAACTTAAGTCTTAAAGAGATGAACAAAGCTGTCCAACTCCTCACACATGCACACTCTACTCTGCCTGGCACTGACAGGCTCCATGCTGCCTCTACAAGGCCTGCTGCCCTGCAGGTCCAGCATCACTGCCTCCCGGCTAACTCAGGAGCTCAGTGGATGGAGCCGGATCCTCTGGTTTCTAAGGTAGCCTGTCACACAACTGGGCCTGCACAGACCCTGGCTACAAACTGGGACTCCCCACAGAGGCAGCTGATGCAGTCCAGCTCCCAACAGCCTGCCCTGGCCAGCTGCTTCCCTCCCAACTCTGCTGGCCTCCAAAAGGCAGCAGCTCGGCTTCACTGGGGAACACACAGGGGGCACCCCGGGGCTGAGGTGGCACCTCAGAGAGCGTCTCCTCAGCGTCCCCTCCAGGTTCTCCTTGGTGTCCAGGGTGCTGAGTGTGTGGGAGTGTCTGGCACTCTGCATGTGGGGAGAGAGCCGGGCATCTAGGCGCAGCTGGTCTAGGCGCTGAGAGACGGGGTCATGTTCAACCAGCAGCTGAAGTGTCTGGCTCGTCTGGCTGATCGCATCTTCCACCTGTTGGCCAAGAACACAGTTAAGGTCGGCTCCTCCAGTGGGCTGCCCTGGCCCAAGCCACCCACCGCCAATCTGGATGATCCAAGCACAATGTGGCTCATGGTGGCCTTCAGTGGCCACTGGCCTCCCAGTGCCTCTGGCATCCTGTCACCTCCCCTATCTGTCAGGTCATTACCTCCCTGGGAACCTGCTGTGTTGACACAGAGGGTCACCAGTGGTCATGGGCTCAGGGCCAAGATGAAGAGATGTGGGTGGAGTTGGGGTGGGAAAAGGTGAAGGCCATAGCTTTTCTCACTGTGGGTCTCACGTCCCATCCCCACCAGACAGGCTGGCCACACATCCTACCTCCTTGACATGGAGAGTGCGGACTGGGGTCCCATTGATCTCCAGGATGCGGTCCCCAGGGTGGATGGCATTGCGGTTATTAGGACTGATGTTCATCCGGTTGACCCTAGAATAGAAGGGGCAAAGGCATTGTCTCCCAAATCAGCCTGACTGGTTCTGCTTATGCAGTGTAGCTCACAAGGCTCCAAGCCCCTGTTGGCCACACAAACGATCACGTCACCCACAGAACGGGGCAGTAGCCTGCCCCAGGATGCTCTCAGGCAAAGGCTTCATTGCTTACCCTGTGGCCTAAGTCACAAACTTGGGACCTCCACTTCCCCACTTGCAGTTCCCCTCATCCTTCTCTCCCTTTCTCCCTCTGCCTCCACCCATCCCTGAGAATCCTGCTGGTTCTCCATCACCATGGTTACCAAGATCTCTTACCTGGATCACTACAGTTGTCTTCTAACCTGCCTCTACATGTCTAGGGGTTCCCTTCTTCCATCCAACCTGCACACCTGTGCTCCTTCTAAAACAGACTAACCTGCATGCATCCCCTCGCCACCTAAACTCCTCACTGGATTGTTTAAGATCTTCACATCCCAGGCTCTCCGTGCTTAAGGGCCTTTTTCGGGTTACTTCTAACCACCCAACCTACACTAGACCCACCAGACTCCCACCTCTGGCGGCATGCTTCTCCTTATGCCCAGAACATAACCACTCCCACCCCCTTACCTCCTCCCTGCTGTCCCCAACACTGGTACCTCTCACCTTGACTGCAACTACTAGCCTAGGATTTAGCACACAGTGGGCGCACACTCAGTATTCACGGGGTAAACACCTGCTGACAGGTGCCTCATGACTGGCATCAGATGGACCCAGACACTTTGACGATGGACTCCGATTTCTCCCTCTTTCTCCATTAACTCAACCAACCAAACAGAAAAGCAACCAACAAAACCTACTGATGCCAGCTGCTGTTCCAGACCCTTGGGCATGCTATACCGAACAAGGCAAACTAGTCTACTTAATCAAGCCAGATCACTTCAAAGGGCAAGCATGCTTTGAGGCCTGACTCTTAGAAGGTGAGCACCTCCAGCATTCAGTGTCGGGTAGGAAGTAGACCAGGCAGAGAGGACGGTGGGCACCAAGGCCCAGGTTGGGTTATAATACAGTGGGCTCTAGTAGGTAGAAAGATGTTAGAGGGGCTATAGGGCACTGTGCATTAGACTTAGGGGTTCTAAGTCCTCCGAGGCCCATCTCTGGACTCTGCTCAAGGACCTCTGTTTTGGGGCTGACACCGGAGTAGAGTTTAGCCCTCCCTCTGCTTGCAGCATTAGCATCCTATGTGGGTGCTGGTTCGAATCCCGGCTGTTCCACTTCCCAGACAGTTCCCTGTTAATGTGCTAGGAAAGCAGGTGAGACTGGCTCAAAGCCTTGCATCCCTGCACCCATGTGGGAGACCTGGAAGAAGCTCCTGGATGCTGGCTGTTGTCACCATTTGGGAGTGAACCAGCAGATGGAAGATCTCTCTCTGCCTTTCCAATAAAAATAAATAAATCCTAAGGAAAATAAAAAAGAGAGAGAGCCCTGCTTCAGGGTTCTCAAAATACTCACTCTTTGACTTGCACGGTGGTGGCGTAGTTGGAGCAGGCACTCTCCACAGACACGGAGAAACCCCGCTTGCCCTCGGTGGTGGCCGGCATGGAGATAAGTGTGACGGAGTAGGGGAGCTGGTCCTGCACGGATTCTGTGGATAGCTTCTCGAACATGGGAGCCAGCACCACCTCGTTGTGGCACTTCCCGCTGAGGAGGGGACACAGAGGGGGCTGAGATTTTGCAGTCTCAAATAAAAGCCTCCTCTGGCCTCAACCCTGCCCACTCCCACACCACGAGGCTGCTGACAACAGTTCTGTTGGTCTCATGAACCCCTTTCCTGGTCATGTTCCTAGTCTTCTGAGAGTGTAGCAAGCGGTGGGCTGGGAAGAACTGGCCTTTCACTCGGCTTTGGACTAAGAGTGAGAACTGTGCTGCCCGAGCTCCTGTGCAGTCTATAGGCCCCAGGCTGATTCCTGTTTAGATGGGGGGCAGTTGGATGGGGCAGCTGGGTGAACACTAGGGAGTCTCTGCCTTTCACGATCTAAACTCGTTTCCGAGTCTTCCCAACTATGCCTTCCCTCTTGGAGGCTTGCAGGGCGCAGGAGGGCTTGGCAGGCAAAAAAGACAGAGAGAGTCACTCTGCTCATGGGTTACAGGGCTGGCTAAGAGCATGTTTGTCACAAGGATTCAGAGCTCTGATGGCAGGTCTTTCTTTCTGGTTCATGGTACCTGCTTGTCACTCCCATGGGGAAGGATGGACACAGGATCCCCTTTTACCAGTAGAGGGTGGCATGCTGCACCAGGGCGTATGCGTCCCCATCCTCGATGATCACCTTGCAGCTCATACAGGCAAAGCACTCTGGGTGGTACTTGAATTCCCCAGCCACCTGTGAGTCAGAAGAGAGAAGGCAGTGAATTATTGCTGCTCCTGGAGTGAGAGTGGTTCGGGGGTGGACGACCTTTAATCAAGGATCTATTTCTGGGACCAGCAAGATGGCTCAACTTGCTAATCCTTCACCTGCAAGCGCTGGTACCCCACTTGGGTGCTGGTTCGAGTCTTGACTGCTTCATTTCCTATCCAGCTCCCTGCTTACGGACTGGGAAAGCAATAGGAAGATGGATCAAAGCTTTGGAACCCCACACCCATGTGGGAGACCTGGAGGAAGCTCCTGGTTCCTGGCTTTGGGTCAGCTCATCTGCAGCTGTTGGCGGCCATTTAATGAGTGAACCAGTGGCTGGTAGATTTTTCTCTCTTTTTCTCTGTGTAAATCTGCGTTTCCAATAAAAATAAATCTATCTTCAGCTAAACCTACCCTCTCACACCATGCTCCTGAGCTTCCAAACAAATTTCAGACTGCAATGCATACATATATACATATAGACATACATTTACTCTGGTCTTAGCTACATGAAGGTTCACAGTCCCTCCTCAGCTTAAAGCCCTTCGCCTGTCTACAGAATGTACTGAGGCGGAGGCAGTCTCTCCGCAAGCCCATTCCACTGAACACATCAACGTGTCGTCCTCCTTTAAGGTCCTTCTACCCTGCTGTGCTGTCTACTCCCCGCCTGTGTGTCCACGCCCAACACCAGACTGTCAGAATGGATCAAAATACAGGGAGAGGTCCCCTGGCTGTTGCAAAGATCAAAACATGAATGACCACGAGGAACCCTAGGGACACCCAGGGGAACCCTGCTCTTGCAGGGGGCCAACGGGACAGGACGGAGGGACTTGCTCACCATGACAGGCCCTGTCATCAGCAGGGAGCACCCGTGGCAGAACTCCCCAAACTTGGCCCAGTAGTCCTTGTGGCAGTAGAGCTTCCCGTCCTTCTCATAGTACCAGTTGGTGAGGGAATCTTGGCATTCGGAACACCTGTGAGGACAAGAACGGGAATCCTCCTGGGTGCCTGGAGCCAGGGGCTAGGGGATGCCCCTGACTCCCACGAGTGACACTGAAATAGTGCCCACTCTGAAGGCCAGGACTCAGAGGAGAGTAGTTATAGCTTGGTGTCGTTTCCTTTAAAGATGTCAATGCAGGGCCTGGTGTGGTGGCCTAGAGGCTAAAGTCCTCACCTTGAACGCGACGGGATCCCTCACAGGCACTGATTCTAATCCTGGTAACCCCGCTTCCCATTTAGCTCCCTGCTTGTGGCCTGGGAAAGCAGTCAAGCAGTCTCAAAGCCTTGGGGTCCTGCATCCGTGTAGGAGACCTGTAAGAGGTTCCAGGATTCTGACTTCGGATTGGCTCAGTTCCGGCTGTTGTGGTCACTTGGGGAGTGAATCATTGGATGGAAGATCTTCCTCTCTGTCTCATTTCCTCTCTGTATATCTGACTTTGTAATAAAAATAACCTCTTAGGGCCTTGAGGCCCTTTGAGTTTCTTTCATTATCATCATCATCATCATTATTATTATTACTAAATTTGAAAGTCAGACATACAGAGAGGAAGAGAAACAGAGAGGAAGATCTTCCATTCATTTATTCATTCCCCAAGTGACCGCAACAGCTAAAGCTGCTGTGCCAATCTGAAGCCAGGAGCCAGGATACTCTTCCAGGTCTTCCAAGAGGGTGCAAGATCCCAAGGCTTTGGGCTGTCCTCGACTGCCTTCCCAAGCCTCAAGTAGGGAGCTGGAAGGGAAGTGGAGCAGTGGGGACACAAACCAGTGCCCATATGGGAATTCCAGCATGTACAAGGCGACAACTTTAGCCACTAGGCTACCGTGCTGGGCCTGTTCTATGAATATCATTACTCTCATCCCCCAAAAATGCACACAATAGTCAGTGCATCTCGTTCAGGTGTGCGGAGTGCAGGCATTACGGGTCCCCACGATATACTCATGCTATCCCTTCTCCTACCCATTTAAAGACCTGCAGATCCTTTGAAATCTTCCCATCTGGGACAGGGCTATGGAGTAGTGGGTTAAACTGGCACCACTGCCACCGCTGCCAACACCGCTTCACATCCCAGCTGCTTCACTTCTGATCCAGCTCCCTACTAATGCACCCGGGGAAAGCAGCGGAAGACGGCCCATGTGCTTGGACTACTAAACCCATGTGGGAGACGGGGACGAGGCTCTTAGTCCTGGCTTCTGTCTGGCCTAGCCGTGGTTGTTGCGGCCATTTGCAAGGTGAATCAGTGCGTGGAAGAGCTCTCTCTCCCCTCCACATAACTCCGCCTTTCAAAAAAAGAAAATTAATATTTTTTAAAAAGAATTAAGTTTTAACACACGCACACCTCTCCAAAACCAACAGCATTACTGATGTGGTATTCCTGCCAGAAACAGATTAAGCACAAAGAAACTCATTAGGCAAGCACAGAATGTGGTCACTCAGCCCAGTCTTCCACAAAGTTCATGTCATAGGCGGGTGAGGGGAGCACAGATTCCCCCACCTCCAGATTTATTTGTTATTTTCTCATTTGAGGAAAGGCAGAGTGACAAAGAGAAGACAAATAGAGAAGTCTTTTAATTATTGGTTCACTCCCCAAATGGCTATGATGGTAGAGCTGGGCCAATCCTAAGCCAGGAGCTTAATTTTTTCCGAGTCTCCCGTGTAGGCACAGGGGCCCAAGAACTTGGACCATCTTATGTTGCTTTCCTAGGCACATGAACAGGGAGCTGGATTGAAAGTGCAGTAGGGGCCCAATGTGATAGTGTAGCGGCTAAAGTTCTCACCTTGAACGCACTGGGATCCCATAAGGGTGCCGGGTTCTAATCCAGACAGCCCCGGTTCCCATCCAGCTCCCTGCTTGTGGCCTGGGAAAGCAGTTGAGAATGGCCCAAAGCCTTGGGATCCTGCACCTGTGTGGGGGACCCGGAAGAAGCTCCTGGCTTCAGATTGGCTCAGCTCCAGCCGTTGCGGCCGCTTGGGGAGTGAACCATTGGACAGAAGATCTTCCTCTCTGTCTCTCCTTCTCTCTGTATATCTGCCTTTCCAATAAAAATCAAATTAAAAAAAAAAAAAAAGAAAGTACAGTAGGCAGGACTCGAATCAGTACTCTTCTGCAATGCCAGTACTGCAGGCAGAAGCTTAATAGACTATGCCACGGTGTCAGCCCCAGACTACCGTTTTAAAGAGCCTAGACAGTGGCTAAATGGGATGCCTCAACCTTAAACTCAGTATTAGGGTGAAAAAGGAAACAGCCAATAAGTGATACTTTTTCTTAGAATTAAGGAACTACATACATGTTAGATTATACTGTGAAATGATTGCTGATTTTCTTACAACTGGTTTTGATGATCCTTTATTTAGAATTCTTAGGAGAAACATATTTAAAGTACGTAAAGATGCATGTGACAGACTTCTAAAACAGTTCTGCAAGCATAAATAAGGGGTGGGGGACGACGTAAAGTTAGTAACATCATCAATCTAGGTGAAGGGTACATGGGTATTCTTGGATCCACTCTTTCAACTTTTCTGCTTTTAACATTTTTCAAAAGAAAACAGCAAGGGAGAAAAAAACTCAAATTGCCACAGCACCCGGTGGGATGTCATTATGAGATACAAAGGGTCCCTTCTCTCTCATCGCTTGTCTGCAAAGGTCCACCAGCTGGCTGGGTCAAGTGTGTTCTCAGGCTGTCAGCACACACCCCTCCTCCTTCCTTCTGAGCTTTCCAGCAGGCCTGGAGCCCCGATACCCTCTGTCCTTCTAGTTAATACCCCCTCTTCTTGTGGCCAAGGCTGTGCATCTCTCAGGCTGGCCACGTTCTTGCCCCCGAGAGGCAGAGCTGGAGCTGCCTCTTGGCTTGAACCCTGCCACTTGGTGATTATGTCATCTTTGGCAAGATCCTGCACTTGTCTGACCCGGTTTCCTTACCTGTAAAATGGTCTGTTGCGAGAAATGAAACAATATGTATTGAAAGGACAGGCAGCTCATGTAGCAGGAACGTAATAAATGCTCATAATCATACAAATGCCACGAGCTGTGTAGCTTTACACAGTTCCTCTCACTAACTGACAGCCCTGGACTACAAAGGATCACTGTGAGCACTGAATAAGTTCATGGATAAGAACGTCTTTTGCTAGGGGAGTATATTATTACAATAATAAATCGCTAGGCAATTTACCTAGATCGCTAGGTAGATGTTAAGAGAGAGACACCAAGTTCTCTAGCCCATCTTGTAAGACAGTACAAAGAGTTGAAGAAGACACAAAACACGGCAAGCTGAGAGGCTAGAGTGAGCGTGTCAATTCTGAGCATAGCAAGAGGCACAGGTGGGAGACAGGAACAGGCTGAAGTGGCTGAGGCACAAGGTCTAGAGAGGGCAGGACCCTGAGAATCCATTTATGCTTCCGGAGGACTCAACAACTCATTCCTATTTGTCCTATGCATTCTGAGTGATGGGGTCTTGAGGACTGGGTAGGGTGAGAAGGGTATGGCTATGAAATGTCAGTCAAGTACTGGGGATAGTGAGACCAGCGCAGGCAAAGGTGCAGACACTGTTCCAGGCACCTAGCTCAAACCCTTGGAACATAAGTTGCACTCTGGATGAAGCCTGCATTGAGAGATGGATCTGGGGTCAAGTTCTTGGGCGCTGTATGCCCTTGCACAAGCCCCTTTCTGTTTCTAGGCTAAGTCACCCCCAACATGCAAAATGAGAGGACAGATGACACCCTAGATCCCACAGTTCTGTGCAGCTGAACTGAAGTACAAATCACAGCAGCCCTACTCTTACTATCTGAAGGATGTGGGGCCAGCCCCCTCTTTGCTTGCCATTTGTGAAATGGCAATGTCATTACCCACTTTCCTGCTATGGCTCTGAGTGAGTGTAAGGTGCCCAGCAGAAGACTGCCAGCGCCGGGGCCAGGAGGCTGGCTTCCTTCTAGCCTCCTACCTTCTGACACGCAATGTCTGAGTGAGCATGTTCACTACTCAGCGTGTTCCCAGAGGACAGAGGTGGTACCCCATGTACTGCTGGTTGACTTGGCCCGTGTCTCCAAATAGGAAAACCACAGAAATGGCAAGAACCGGCAAGCCTGGGTGAGAAGACAAGTGTTCTGTGGTTCCTGGTCACCACATCCCAGCTTCTTCTGGAGAGCAGTAGTAAAGTTGGTGCAGACGTCGTTGTCTGCACCGACCACTGCAGGCCAGGGTTCCGTGACGCCTTCACAATGGTATGTACGCTGCAGGGCATGGCAGCACCAGAACACACCCTCCTTTCTATTGCCAATATCCTGCTTTTGTTCACTGCAAGTAGCCCTGGCCAGGCCCAAGAAGGGGAGCGGGGAGAGAAACGAGCGCAGGCATGCAGGAGACAGCCGTGCCGGCCTGCTTGGGAAGAACACTCGGCCGGGGAGGGGCATTATCCACGCACACATGTATCTGAGTCAAGGGATGCCTTTGAGGGGCCTGGCCAGCTCTGTATGTGCCCAGAGCTGCAGCCGCAGATGCCTTTGAGGAACAAGAAGGACAAAACAAGAGGGACGGCTGTGTGTCCTTAGGTCACTGGAGAAGTTGTCAAGGCAGGTTTTGGCATTCTAGCTGAACCACTTAACAGTGACTGTTGCTTGGATACCAGGTATATTCCAGGCACCATGTGAGCTGTCTTATCTTTAATCTGACCATAGCCACCTAAGTTTATTCTGGTTTTCAAGACCAGAAGATTGAAAAAGCAGAATCCTAGGTTAAGTTGCTTGCAAAGCTGCTCAAATGTAAAAGATGGAAACTCTGGACGTAAGAATGCTTGGTGAGGAAGCCATCTCCACTGCCTACACCCCTGGAGGGACGAGCCCCTCCTCACGGCTGTGAAATCCAGGAAGCCAGGACACCTGACGGCAGAAGAAAGTTCTTTCAGGTGCTACTGCTCCGCAGTGATTCTCCTTTAACTTCTAGATGGAGAATTACACAGCACGGTTCACTCTTCCCCTTCCCTGTCACTCACTCCACAGCGCTCTGCCCCTGATGGTCTGTTCCTTTAATAACTCGGAACATGTTGTACAAATGGAAGGTACCACGCTGCAACGATGCCGCCTACGCCCCCCTACAAGATTCTCAGAGGTCACGGCTACTGAATGTTCTTCTCCAGGTCAAGGAGGGGGATGTCCACCCCACTCCAAGCTTTAGATTTTTTCAGTTTCCAGTGAAAGCCAAAATCCATCTGCTCAGGCTGCTGGCCCGAGGGCATGCCTGCCTACTGGAGGGCACACCTGCTGGGCGGCAGTAGATCTGTCCTCCCAAGAGACTGAGTCCAGGTGTACAACCTCCCAGACTCCTCTTCCCTACATAGAGGCAAAGAGGACAGAGCCCTGGTGATCCCCCTGAGCTCAGATCAAACTGGGGTCCTTTGGGGTTCACGGAGAGATTCTCACAGATGGCCTCAGCTGTTCACCTGTCACCTCAGCCAGGAACTTGGTGACTCTGAACCTGTACACAAGTAATGGTAAAATCTGATGGGTCTGGAACAATTAAACCATGGCATTGATGATTCAAAGGATGGCTGGCTCCCAGGGGGGAAGACCAGCCTGAATTCCTTTTCTGTCCTCCCTGACTTGACTTTGCCTCCCAGGTCTGTGCAAAACTGCCCTGTTTCTTGGTACAGAACCCAATTGAGTTAGTAGAGAAGAACTGTCCTAAAAGGGTCCATTTATTTTATCAATTAGAAGTCAATCCACTCTAGGGGCCAGCGCAGTAGCCTAGCGGCTAAAGTCCTCGCCTTGAACATGCCGGGATCCTATCTGGGCACCAGCTCTAATCCTGGCGGCCCTGCTTCCCATCCAGCTCCCTGCTTGTGGCCTGGGAAAGCAATCGGGACCCTGCACCTGTGTGGGAGACCTGGAAGAGGCTCTGGGCTCCTGGCTTCAGGCTGGTGCAGCAGCTCCAGCCTTTGTGGCCACTTGGGGAGTGAATCATTGGACGAAAGATCTTCCTCTGTCTCTTTTCCTCTCTGTGTATCTGACTTTGCAATAAAAATAAATAAATCTTAAAAAAAAAACCATAATTCATTCTAACAGATTCCTGTCCCTGGGGAGGCAGACTGCAGTCATCATGGGTGAGAAGAAGCAGGCAAGGCTTCCCGCTGGGAGAAGCCAGATGAGGCCTGCCCCGACGCACACCTGAGTTCTTTTCAGATCAGATGTTTACAGGTGAATCTGCCACCTCACAGGGCCGAGGGAAGTGGCCATGGCTACGGTGGATTTATACCAGTTTTCTGGTGGCAGTACGGGCTGGATGTTCAACCTCAGCCTTGCTTGGTGTGAATGCCCAGCTGCACCATAGCTTCTTCCACTTCTCACCCTCTTCCACAGCCTAGGTGCGCCTAGGCTGGGATGAACTGCCCCGCTCCGGGGCCTGAAAGGGTGACTGTGAGAGGGACCTAGGGGACTCCCTGGCTCACCACAGCCCTGCCTTTTAACCACCTAAGATCCCTTGATTATTACTGCACCTTCTTGTAGATCCTGCAGATTCAAACAGCTTGTCAATGAAGCTGTAATTATTACAGAATCTGTTGTTATCCTATTTAAAAAAAAAAAAAAAACCACCCAACAGATAATGAGCCTCTCTGATCAGCAAGAAATAAGCGTTACCAGAGTGTGTTGACTCAGTTCCAACCCAGAGCCGGGAAGGCTGGAGTTTCAAGTCATTCGAGGCTAGTCATGCTGCAGTTAAAGATAGGGCTTCCGTTCTTCGGGGAGGCGGGGCTGGGGGAGGGAGTGAGGGAGAGCTTCAGTGCCCCCGAGGATGAGGACCAGATTGTTTAGGTTTCGGATGAGAAGAAAAACATCCCAGAGGACCCAAGGTGGCTGCCAAGAGCCACTGCTAGAGCCGGGCAGGACTAAGAATAATTTTTTTCTCCCTTTAAACATGGACTGTTTTAAAGTACAAAGATGCACTTGTTTCCCTTCTGAGATGATGTGTAAAAACCAAGCTCAGTCAATCAGGGCATCTGATGAAAGTCATTCCCTCATTTGCCTTTGTGTGTGTTTGTAAATTTCAACCTGAGGTGTTTCCTTCCTTGGGAATGCATCTGTGATCTCGCGCCACCCCTACATGTCAATGGCACGGGCAGCGGGAAGGGGACAGTTAGAGGGACCCTCCTGCAGAGGAGCATGGCCTGTTGGGCAGGGGCGTGTCGGGCACAGAAATTACATTCATCACTCCCTGGTCCCTCTTCCCTCCCTCACACGGTCACGCCTGATCATGTCCCCGTGGAATCTGGTTGCGTCACTTTTCCTTACAACCACAGCCTCAGAACTCCTGTGTGGACTTTCTACTCTCTCTCCCAAGGACCTGGGACTCAAAGACTTCATTTGTTTCCCCGATTCTGGCAAGGGCCCCTCCACTCCACCCCATTCAGTAGCCCTGACAGTCTCTAGTGGGAGGACACTGAGGTCCCAGGGATGGGACAGGCACCTGGTCAGGCAGGGGATAAGCAACCAGCAGTGTAAGTGGCTCTTTTTTTTTTTTTTCTCCCTTGGGACTAGCCAGTGATTCCAATGCCTGGGAGACTACAAGGTCTGGGTGGTCCCTTCCCTGGGCACGGAGCCCCTAGGGCCTACGGCTTAGGCTATCTCATCAGAAGGGCCTTTAGGAATGTGGTCTCATACTTGGGGGAGGGGAGAAGGGACTAAGAGTAAGTCAACCAGTCAGTAGCCCCCAGACTCCAGCTGGGCAAACAGAGCTAATGGGGGGTGGGGGTGAGGAGGTCACCAGGTTCACCAGAGGGGGCTGGGCACAAAGAGAAGAAAGATGGCAGGATCAGGAGTGGCGATGCTGGTGGCCTGGCCAGGTTGAGAGTTCAGCGGCTACCATACTCTACCCACCCCCCGGGCCCCATCCCCACCCAAAAAGGTTGTGTGCTGTCCTCAGAAGATTAAAAGGGGATACAGTGTTGCTGGCTCCTTAAAGGAATAACCCTTTTGCACAAACTGCCTGTCCCACAATTAAGAGAAACAGGAATTGAGAACCTGAACCAGGGGGTGGAATGGTGATGGGGGCACACTGCTTCAACACCTGGCATCTTGACCCCACGTGGTTAAAACCTCCCTCCCTCCACTGGCTCTTCAGTCAAACTGTCCCCATTTCTGCTCTCAGTTTAGAAATGAAAACCAAACCAGAGAAGAAACATTCTGGGGGAAGGGAAGGTGCAACGCCCCCTCCCTGTTCCCTGCCTAGTGATGAGAGAAAACTCAGAAAGAGCCAGGCCAGAAAGAGCCAGGCCAGGGAGACCTCACGTGTTGGTTCTGTTGAAACCGGTTGCCTATCTGTAAAATGGGGATCTATAATCTCTCTAGGCTGTGGAGAGATTAAAGGATAAAGTGCCTGGCCGAGTCAGCAGCATGGACGCCCGCTCCCTTCCCTGCTCTCAGCTCAGAGGCTTTCCCACCACTCATCAGGGGCCAGCCATTCCCAGAAACCACATGGCATTCTTTTTTTTTTTTTTGCTAAGGGCCGGCCACCTGACCAGGCACCCCAGTAGCAGCAACAGGAGAGCTGTGCTGGGCTTGGGGAAGCCAGAAGCAAAAGCTGATTGCGACCTCTGAGCTGGTGGAGGTGGCCCTTGGGACAACAGACTGCTCCCAAAGAATAACTCCAAGCTCCACCCCAGACAGGGACCCAGAGGGCCAGAAACCCCCTGGGGCAGGTGAGCAAAGAAAGCCAGGTCACAGGTGGGAAGTTCCAGTACCTCCCTCAGACAGACAACCCCACCCTCCTCCCAGCAGCTCAGACACACTGGGATGCTGTCTTGGGGCTCGCAAGCGCTGCCCCCCTTAAACATCCCAAACATGCTCACCTGGGAGCCCAGAAACCCTTCAGGGTCAGAGGCTAAGGTGCCTGCCATTAAGAGAACATTTATAGGAGCCCTACTGTGTACCAGGCGACCCACACCCAGGTCTTCCACGTTTTGGCAGAACCTGCCCGTCCTGCTTGTTGGGACAAATTCCTGGGCAGGCGGCATGGCCTGCAGGTAAGTAAGAGCTGCTGGTAGGAGGGCGCCTTACTTGTGTTCTGCCGCCCCGCCCCCCAAAAGCAGTAACAGCAAGAACACACAAGGTTGGGGTGCATCTTCTGGAGGGCCCTCCAGATGTGTCTGGGGAGGGGAGAAGAGTCACCCATATCCCTCACCTCACTGTTTCCAGGACCTAGTTGGGGAGCCTGTCCCAGGCCGGATGTGCCTGGCAGAACGGCTTGTCTGAGGGGGAGAGGTGAAGGGTGAGAGGCAGTTTCCAGGAGACAGGGAAGAGAGAGCAGCAACTCACCGAAAGGGGTCCCTGGAGGTGAAGTACGCGGGGACAGACAAGTAACTCCCCATCTTCTTCCCGCACCAGACACTCAGGCTCAGCTGCAAACCCGTCTGGGAGTGCCTCGGCCAGGCTGCAGGCGGCCACCATGACAGGCCCAGCAGGGCTCCTCGACACCTCTGGCTGTGGGTGGGTGGGCAGGCAGGCCGGCAGGCTGCCCGGAGCTCACCTCTCCCTCCGGAGCCAGAGGAGCAAGAGGACTCCAGGCCACTCGCTCCCCGGCAAATTCTTGCAGGGGCTCATGGCTGGCCCCGGCTCCTGCCGGGTTCTTGGCAGCTCCGGCTGGCTTCCCCGCCACCCGGGGACTGCGGGAGAACCACCTCTCTGCGGAGGCTACCCACACACACAAACACACACAGAGGCGTTCTCAGGCTGAGGCCGGTGACTAGCTAAGAAAGAGGCACTGCTGTCAAGTTAGCCTTCTTCTCCAGTCCCACCCCTGAATGAGGGAGGGAGGGAGGAAGAGGAGGGGCTCCTCGCGGAACCGAGGTGTGTGGTTGGAGCAGCTGTTAGGAAATAGACCTTGCAGGCAAAGGGGTGGAGCTGGGCTGGAGCAAGGCTGCAGGCAGGCGCCACAGACAATAACTGGGGCCCAGGCTTGTCCATCGCCCCCGCCCCAGGCTGGGCTCCAGGGTAGGGCAGGCAAGAGAGGCAGAGAGTACCTGGTTCCCAATATCCCCAGCCTGACAAGCGCCTAGGACAGTAATTGCTCAGATGTGCAGAAGCACAGGATACCAGCTCCTGGCACAGCCACACCCCCAACCCAAAGGCATGGGATGTCTGATAGGACAGAGCCAGGTGCAGAGACCCGTCCCCAAAGATGCCACCTGGCATCTGCCCTGCCTAGGCCCAGGGTGCTCTGCTCGTTACCTCCCTCTGCTCCCTAGAGCTGGCTGTTTGTGGCTGCCACTAATGAGCTGCAGCTGAGGATACAAGGTACATGGAAATATGCTAGACTACTACTCCCATCTCCATATGGCAAAGACTGCGGGCAGAGAGATCATGTAAGTCATGCCAGAGTCAAGAAGTTGCTCAGTGGCAGGGCCAGAGCTGATTTAATATTAATTTATTTTCATTCTACTGCAAAGGATCTTCAACCTTCTGGTTCACAGATGATAACTGTGGTTGGGCCAGCTTGACACCAGGAGCCAGGGACACAGGCTGAGTCTCCCCCATGGGTAGCAGGGACTCAGGTAACTTGAGCCATCACCTGCTGCCTCCCAGGATGCACATTACAGGAAGCTGGATTGCAAGTGAAGGTGCTAGGACGGGAACCAGGCACTCCGATATGAGATGCTGGTGTCCCATGGGGACGACTAAACTGCTACACTAGATGATTGCCTCCTAGGGCTGGAGTTTAAATGTAGGACCACATGACTCCAGAGCTACAGCTTCAAAGTTCCCGTCTACAAACAGAATGGAGCCTAGGTTGCCCCCCACCCCCTTTAAAAAAAGATTTATTTATTTTTATCGGAAAGGCAGATCTACAGAGAGAAAGAGATACACAGAGGAAGATTTTGCATCTGCTGGTTCACTCCCCAAGTGGCAGCAATGGCCGGAGCTGAGCCAATCCAAACCCAGGAGTCTCCTCCGGGTCTCCCACACGGGTGAAGGGTCCCGAGGTTTTTGGGCTGTCCTCGACTGCTTTCCCAGGCCACAAGCAGGGAGCCGGATGGGAAGCGGGGCCACTGGGATTAGAACTGGCGCCCATATGGGACCTGACATGAGCAAGGTGAGGACTTCAGCCACTAGGCCACCATGCCAGGCCCAAATGGAAGCCCTCTTAAGGAACCCTGGCTGTGAGGATGGCCAAGTTGGCGCCTACCACGAAAAAGTGCCACATCTCCTTATCTGCAGGGAGCTGCTGCAGGAGACTGGGAGAAACACCACCACCTCTGGCTGGTGCTCATCATGCACACAGCCCTCCCCACTATGAAGAGTCAGAAGTTACCTTGTAGCTGCTCTCACAGCAAACTATGGCAGAAATGTCGGTGATGAGTGCCAAAGGGAGCCTTTTCCCATCCTCCAATTATGCACAGGCACGTCAATGCACATGATGAGAGTGGATTTGTGTCTTGTTCATTCATAAGCTATCACTTTACTTAGCACTTAATATGTTCTGAGCCCTGTGTTAAGTGCTTGTTAACATCCTTTTGTTTTTGTTTTTCTTTCTACTTGATCTAGAAGGCCGAGACACAGGCAAGAGCTCTTCCATCTGATGGGTCTCACTGTCCAAATGCCCACTGTGGCTTGGGCTGCGTCAAGCTAAAACCAAGAATCTAGAACTTAATTTGGGTCTCCCATGTAGGTGGAGGGAACCCAAGTGCTTGAGCCATCCTCTGCTGCCTCCCCGAGTGTGCGTTAGGAGGAAGGTGGTTCAGAAGTGGAGGAGCTGGGTCTGCCCCACGGGACGAGACTGTGAGTCTCAACCACCATGCGACATGCCTGCTCCTATCTAGCACATTTAAACTGCTACTATCTGGAATGGATGCTATCATTCCCATTTTCCAGAGGAGGCAACTGAGGTTCCGAGGGTATGAGTCCACTTGCCTAAAGACAGACGGCTGGTGAGTGGTGAGGTTGGGCTTCACAGCCACTAAGCCTGATTCTGGAGCAGGGGTTATGACCCTGTGCCTGTCAAGGACCACAAAACAAACTCCTTACTGCAGCGACCCCTCTGTGCTCAAACGATGCAAAAGCATAAAATGCAAATGCTCATGACTGTGTTTCGATAAAACTAAATGTAAATTCCATTTCATTTCCATGTGGGAGCGCACATGCTTTTGTATCCCACACCCACTGTCACAATCCTTTAAAAATGTAAAAAGAAAAAAAATTTTTAAATCACAGGCTATATAAAGATAGGCATAGGGTTAGTTTGCCCCACGACTCCTGTGTTTAACAGCCACAGAACTCAGCCTCTCTAACGATGAAGAACAAACATATCTAACCATGGCCACCCCAGGCACGTTGCTCAAGCCCCACAGGTGGCTGAGGGGGGAGCCAGCACCGTGCGGGTGCTCACGCTGCGCCTGTGGCACTCCTTGTGGGCCTGAATTTTGCCCACGCTAACTCAGCAGCCCTGGGAGCAGGTGAAGCTACAGATGCCAATCGCTTGCCTGAGGTCGCCCAGTGAGTTGTGTAAGGAAGACGTCAACTTCAACTAGACAGTATGGCCTGAGCTCCACCATGCTCTACTGGAGCTGGGTCTGGGCCTGCAGCCAGACTGTCTGGGTTTGAATGCGACACTGCACTGCTGCGTGTAAGCCTTTGGCACAGAGTCTGGAACACATTAAGGGTTGATAAATGTTAGCTGTTAATATCATTAAGACTATTGTTACAACTACCATGGGCTATGAGGAGGCCTTTAAGCATGTCCCTGCCTCTGTCTGGGCCTTGCTTAGGTGTTTAAAAGAACTTCCAGGTTCAACCCTGTCCAGTTCCATGAGGCTGCTGCATGCAAGGGGCTGGGGGGGGGGAGGGGGGCTCAGTTTGCCTTGCATCTCAAAGCTGAGTTTTATTCTTGAGTCAGCTTTGAGGGGGGATCAGGATCCTGGCCTGGAAGCCACAGAGGGAGGTGGAATGGATGGAGTGTGTGTGTGGGGGGGGAGGGGGGGACAACAACCAGGGGATGGACAATATACAACGGGTTTGCCTGTTTGCAGATCTGAGAGAGCTCTCGTCTAGCCACAGAGCTCTTTCTTTCTTAAACACACACATTCATACACAAGTTCGGGTTTTCTGCAATTTGATCAGGGAAGAAGGAGCACCTACCCACGCCCCCACCCCAAAATTAGTCCCAAATTGGTCTGGAATTAGCAAATGATCTTCTAATTGCATCCTCTGATTTCCATCTGATGAACGCAGTTGCAGATGGGGAAGAAAAGGCAAGCCACAGAGCGACCGGGGGCTGGGGGACCTGTGAGCATAACTCCTCTTGACATTTCACACAGCTCTGCTGTTCCAGTGGCGGCGGGCACAGTGAGTCGGTGTCTAGGAATGCGAGCAGGAGGCTGGGGCGTTCTCTTCTCTGCACCCCCACCTCCAACTCCCCTTACAAAGGGACGTGGTGGGTGGCTGGCTGGGGGAGTAAGGGAGAAGAGTTTGCAATGCCTTGAGAACTACAACCCAACCTCACCCAACCCCACCCCCTTCCTGCCTCCCGGAACAGGAGCAAACCTTCTCTCCGTGTCCTAAGCTGAAATGGAAGCCCCGCCCAGGTGGAATTCACTTGACCCCTATAAATCCAGACTCCAGGAGGAACCTCTGAAGGATTGATCACTGCATATGATAAGCCGCTGGCTGCTTAGACCCAAGTGTGCAGTTCCTCCGGGCCAACTTCACCATCTAGAACTGGGAGGTGAAAAGCCATATGCTGGAGGGTGTATTTCCCAACCCACCTAATCTCCTACGCTAGTCCCTTCCTGCCCTTAGCAATGGATGCCCTGGATGGCAGACTGCTCTTCTGGGTTTCCCAAGCATCTGGCAGAGGTCTCAAGCATTTACGGCTGCCAGAGGCAAACTGCGGGGATCCTTGAACTGGCAGCCCCGGTCAGGATAAAAATGGCAGGAGAGGTGCTAATCTCCTGCAGATTTCGTAAGCTTTGGAAACCTGGCAGGCAGCCTAGTGAATGGACTCCTCGGAACCAACCAAGCTGTGGAGCCTTAGAGGCACGGTGGCCTCTGGGGTAGTGAGAAGCGGCCGGTTGTTGAATCACCCTAGCCTCTGAAGTCAGCGGCTCTGGTTGCATCGCTGGTCAGTGTGGCTGTGTTCATGTGAGGCCCTCTGTTGGCAGGGAGGACTCAGTCAGGGAGGCAAGCTCTGTCTGAAAGGTGAGCTCGGCCACCCCTCATCTCACCACTCTCCCTTCCGGCTTTTCAAGTGGTAGGGACAGCAGCAGTAGCCTGCTATGTTTAGTCTTTCTAAAAATGACAGTCCCAGCCGTTTCACTGTTGCAAATTTTTGCCCCGAGGAATATCTAACCATTGAACAGATGTGTGTGCAGTGTAGCACAGCTTCACGCAGAAAGATCGGGAATAATCCATTGTCTCTAAAGGGAGGCGGGCCAAATACAACCACACAACTGTACAATAGGATGTGATTCTGCTGCTTAGGAAAAAAAAATCATGAGGTAGATCCCGAGTACTGAAACTGAAATTGTCCAGGGTGAGATGCCAGCCTCAGAGACAGGTGCTGCGTGGACACTTAGGTTTCTATATAGAAGTGTCTAACTTTGGCTCTGTTCCCAACCCCAGCTTCCTGCTAATGCTGTACCCTATTAACAAGAACTTGGGTTCCTGCCACTCATGTAGATTGAGTTTCCAGGTACAAGCTTCGATCTGGCCCAGCCCTGGTTGTTGTAGGCATTTAGAAAATGAATCAGTGGGTAGATATCTCTTTGCGTTTCCAATAAACAAATATTTTAAAAAATTGTTTTATTTATTTGAAAGGCAGTGTGATGTTATAGATGGAGAGTTCTTCTACCTGCTGGCTTACTCCCTGAATGGCCTCCATGTCTGGTGCTGGGCTAGGCAGGGGCCAGGAGCTGGGAACTCTGTCCAGTTCTCCAACAAGGATTCAGGGGTCCAAATGGCTGTTAATGACTGGGCTGGACCAGGTGAAGCCAACAGTCAAAAAACCCATCTGGGTCTCCCCATGGGGTGACAAGGGGCCCAAGTATTTGGACCATCCTCCACTGCTTTCCCATGTACAACAGGGAGCCAGATCAAAAGTGGAAGAGTCAAGTCTTGAATCAGCACTGATGGGATGCTGGAATCAGTGGCTTAATCCACTGCACCAGAATGGGGACGCCTGAAACTTCAATTAAAAAAAAAAAAAAGGTTATTCATTTGATTTGTTTGTTTGAAAGCCAGAGATTGACAGAGACAGACAGAAATCTTTCATCTGCTGGTTTACTCTTCAACAGCTGACAACAGCTGAGCAGCCCAGGCAGGAGCTGAGGGCCAGGAACTTGATCTAGATCTCCCCGGTGGATGACAGGGAACCAAACACCTGGGTCCCTGTCATCTGGTGCTCCTAAGGGCGTGCACTGACAGGAAGCTAGATTCAAGAGTGGAGCTGGGAATTGAACCTGAGGTCCGTTTACTATGAAATGCAAGTGTCCCAAGCAGTGTTTTTAACTGTCT